TCTAACGAAACCAACTCAATAAGTCATAATTATTTATACCAAGAAAAAATTAGTGCAGTATGTAACAACGACTATGCACACATTTTAGTTCCTCGTTCATTAGCATTGAGCATCATTAACTTTAAAACGCATCGCCTCCAAATTACACCAAACATTCTAAACCTTAACCTGTTTATATATCGACAGAATACAACATTTATTTGAATTTAACCTTACCTGTTTTAGACACTTGCTTTTATTGTTAAAATTAATGGTAAGATCAATCGAACTTTTATTATAAAATTGTAGACGATATCGTTTAACACTTCTTCCCAATTCCCATAATGATGATCTCACCAAAAAAAAAAAAAAAAAAAAAAAAAACCCCATATTGATGATATTCCATTCGTTACGAGTTACGAAAATGAGATGTGATGAATTTTTACAGCTTTGCATGATTTTAATTGGGAAAAAAAATAAAAAAATGTGCTTACAAAACTTTAAATCGTTCATAACTCATAACAACTGTTCAGGGATATAAAAATCAGTTTACTACTACAGCAGTTTTAAAATGTCATTAGCACATTTCAAAAAGAGATTTATAACTAAACTCGCAAAAGAAAAATTAAGTGAGATGATTATAATATTATTGTTGATACAAAATATTAATACCATACTGTATTCCGTATATACTTAAAAATCACATTATATAAATATGTGCTTATGGTGTTGTACGAATGATCTGAGTTGATCAATGATTAACGTGCGTCCAAAACAAATGGGAGATTAAAAATACGCGTTGAGTTCTCCAATGTGGACGTGCTTATAAGTTTTTTTTTTTTTTTGTATAGACAAAAATAAGCGTTGTGTTCGAGAGGAAGTCAAAAATAATAGACATGATGTGTGGAACTGTCGATGACTCGATCATGATGAATGAACTAAAGGATTCGGTTAAACCAAACGTTGCAAGCCAAGTTCTTAATGAATTTTTCCAGTTTATTAACTAGTAGTAAGGTTGTTTGCCGGATTTTGAGTCTATATATCAGTCTGCCCAGCAGGTCTAGAATCCTAAAATTTGTCAACCTAGTTCAGATGACTTGAGTACTAAACCTTATGGTATATATTTCTCCACAATATAAAAGCTCGGGATGAAAGACCAATTAATAATACGTTGATCTACTGTTTGTCGAAACTAGCTAGTGTATCTGGCCTTTAGTGTTTTCGCCTGAATCACTATAATACTCACAAACACAAACGGAACTCAACAGCATATATATAACAGTAGCAATAGATGCATATGTATATTAAAGGATAGCCACTTAATATGCTTCAATAGCATGACATGTCATTTGGGTCCATTTTTTATATACATGGATTAGGAATCCCTTAAATACATATCATTTGTGTTTTCTTTACTTTTTTCTACTAGGAGCCATTTATCAGAAGATTTCACCTTTGTAGCATTGGCGTCTAGGGATGAATCATCATCATCATTTATAGTTCTCTACATATGAAGTTATATGTCAAGATATAGGTGATGAAATTGAATGCCTTGTATAAGTTGTATGCAGAGCCGTCCCTGAGCTTCTTAAGGCTACAAGCCAACCCAAAAAAATATTGACATAAAATGTAGTCCCAGATAATCGAACCTGAGAACTAAGCATATATATCAATATTGAACCGCTGAGCTAAGGAGATTTTTATGAAAAAATGGCCGAAAAACATATTTAATATAACGGGCCGCAAGCCAGTGCTTTGCTTGCTTGGCCTCTTCAACGGCTCTGGTTGTATGTGCACCAAAATATTGTGGTTTAATCAAGATCCCGTTAAATACCAGTCATATGGGGTCACCATAATCGACAAAGAAACAGATAAATGATTAAGAATTAGAGAGAGGAGGATAACAGAACATATTACATAGCATGACTATATAAGCCACGTATTATTACATGTATGGATTGGCTGGATACCATATATATATATATAAACATTATTTTTCGAATTATCGGCGAACTTTACGGACAGAAGAAAAAGGAAAAAGGATACGTCGCATGATAGGGTGATGGCTACTTTGCCCCTTAGAGCAAATAATAAGTAATTTGGGATGCATGTGCTGTGATTACTCCAAATCTTGCTTGTCGTTATCATATTTTATCTTATCGATCAAATCTTGTTGGTGGAGTGTAGAGTGAATATGAAGATTTGTTGAGTTCTGCGGGCCTAGCTCTCTCTCCTTGATTGATTCCTACTACTCCTCCTCCTCCTATCCATGGATTTGAAAATTCTAATATAGTAGTAACTTTCATATTTATTCAAGTGTTTTGAATTGGACGAGTGTAGTAAATATTTTTTTAGTATATAAAATCTCAAAGTCAAAGACTAATGTAAAAAAAAGTTGCAATATATATTTTGTACTTGTGTGTGAGAAAACCCTCAATTAATCGACAATTACTATAACCTTTATTTTATCCGGGGGCTAGAGGACGAGTGTGGCCGTTCATGGAGCACTAAAAGATCAAAGTGAGTAATTATCTTCCTTAAAACAGTGTTTTATGTCGAGTTTGATTGTTTGCTTTCACGTTTCTTAAATAATTTGATTAAAGCAAAATTCATATTTGACAAAATTAACACACGATCTATTTTGGTTTATTATAACTTCAACTTGCACTTCTTCTTTGAGCCAATCGCACTATCTTCCGTGCAAAAGAGAAATTAAGTTAAATGTGTCTTAGTTATTAAAAATGGATGTTAGCTTGTATAACGTATTAAGAAAAATGTTGGCTGTTTCGACTTAGCTTGTATGTATAATAATGTATTTAAGAAATTTCAAGCTGTTCCGTTAGCATTGTGTTACCACACACCATGCATGAAAATGAAATGATCAACGTCAACAACAACCACAGGAAATCGAAATATGTAATGCTTAAAGGTCGCATGTGTTTGCTAGGAATAATAACATTTCGATTTGTCAACAAAATATTATTTACAGTTTGTCGTCAAAGAAAAAACAAAGGTGACACTATGTAGTTGTTTTACTTTTCTTCATGTGTAGTAGTAGTAGTGAGTAGTAGTACCCAATCTTTTAAAAAGAGATGGAGGCGAATCAGTTGATTACGGGGGTAGTACAGCAGAGAAAAAGGAAACAGAAACAGCTCAACTGTCAAAAAAAACGAACCTAACAATTAGGAATCCCGTAAAACCAGCAAATCACGAGGGCCATTTAGTTGCCCCCACACACATTTCACTTTTCTCTCAACATATGCTTTTCCACTTCTGCCTATCATTACCAACACCTATTACCTACACGACTTTAAGGCACACACACACAGAGATGACACTTCTCCGTTTCATTTTCAAATCCCGTTACCGTGATTGGTGCACTAACAAGTGCATTGTGTGAATATGGTGAACAACAAAATACAACTAGTATTAGTACTAGTAGTACTAGTATATTTCATAAGCATTTTCACCGACACCCAATCATGAAGAATAATAATACAGCCTGAAATGTTAAGTCCTTCTTCTATATGATAAAAAGATAAGAATATATATATTCAACGGTGGGAATATAACCATATGCTATCAATTTGTGCTCGTATTTCTCCCCACATATATATATATATATATATATATATATATATATATATCAATTGTTCTATCCATCTGTATTCTTCTTATTATCATCTTGTTTCCACAATTTAAACTCAAATTCTATCTACTCTATATCATTCAATCCCTATGTAACAAAGTAGGTTAATTAATCTGAATCCATAGAGATATACGGATTACAAAAGTTGAAGATAGATTGCAGGAGTTGTCTTTCAACAGAATCATTACGACATATATCATTCTACTACTGTTTTTTTTCCTTATGATCATCTCATTCCATTATTATTTAGTTTTTCTGTGTGTGTGTGTACTTGATACTCATTAGTCATTAACTTGGAACATCTTCACTCATTTGTCTTCTCTTCTCCCTTTGATATGTTACCCGGCATGTTGCTATAGTATACTGGCATAATGTGGTTGGAAAATCTTAACAAGTCTTTGAATAATAAATGTTTTTTGTTCAGGTAACTGGTACGATACGGAAACTTTCCAATGATTTTATTTAATTTTTGGTTTCTTTTGCAACCAGATATGCAAACCATATTCAATACCGACACAACAAACTAAGATGTAACGCCTAATGAACTGCATGATAAAATAAAATAAAAAAATAAAGAATTGTGCAATCTATATAAGTACCCATCATTCTTTGATGTTAAATGCAATAGAATCCAACTCCTTTGGGGTAAACTTTGCATATAAAATTCTTATATTCCGCAAGTGCCCAGTGCCCAGTGGTGCTGCTGCACGAATTATTTTTAGTGTGTCAAACTATTGATAAGGGAAATTAATAAAGCGTATACAGTGCAACACTCTAACCCCAAAACAAGTCGATGCAAATTGAAAATATACTAGACATGTTGTCAAGGGCATACATAGGCGTAGATAATTATAATACATTAAAGCATGTGGATTCTACATGCCCAATCAAGAAAAAGTGAAGCTTTTCTAAATGTATGAGAAAACATTATAAAGAAATACAACTATAAATACAAGTGTTTGTCAACTAGAATGGTTACTTGGGTTTGGATCCTCATAAATTAAACTTAAACACACAAACTTGCTGCTGTATCTATATATATTTATTCGGCTAAACAGCTCATGTGTGGAAGTTACTTAAAAAGTATGTATATACAATTTCGACCTAATTAGATTTTGGGAGGCTTATTTATTTATTTATTTTGTCAACAGTTAGACTTGAGTAACGGATGTAACCATATTATTGGTTCATGTAGGCACTATTATACTATAAGGTTCTTTCTTGGTATTAAAGATGATGATGATGATATAAATAAAAGAAAAAAAAAAATGGGACCTAAACCTTAAAAATTCCAATAAGAAAATATAGAGAGTGTAGACAGAGGTCCTTTTATATCTTTATATAAACCCCTCTTCCTCTCTATTCTCCCCACTCACAACTTATTTCCTTTGTCTTCCTTTAGCTTCCCTCTTCTCTCACCAGAATCCGAGAGAGAGAGACTCTGTACTCTAATCTGAGAAAGTGAGAGAGAGAAGAGAGAAAAAAATGGAAATGCAGACGAAGAAGCTCTTTATCATCACCATTGTCTCCTTTCTTCTCTATGCGCCATTGTTCTTATCTTCACCAGTTCCAGACCCTGAATCTGTTGTTGAAGAAGTTCACAAGTATGAATCTTTTCTCTTTTTTTCCTTCACATTTACTTGAGAACCACTAGTCATTTAGTTTTTTTTGCTTTTCATTTGAGCATAGTGTTACAAAGTTCTCGCCTTTACTAAAACGGGACCAGTTTGAAAAGTCTCTGTTTTTTTGTTTTGGGTAATGTTTAATAAAAAGTTGTGTTTTTTTTTTTGCATTTTGCAGGAGCATTAATGCGTCGGTTGCTGGAAGAAGGAAGTTGGGTTATCTCTCATGTACCACCGGTAACCCAATCGACGACTGTTGGCGCTGTGACCCTCACTGGGAGCAACACCGTCAACGTCTCGCCGACTGCGCCATTGGGTTCGGCAAAAACGCTATCGGCGGCCGTGACGGTCGGATCTACGTGGTCACCGACTCAGGAGACGACAACCCAGTCAGCCCCAAACCCGGAACTTTGAGACACGCCGTGATCCAAGACGAGCCACTCTGGATCATCTTCCAGCGAGACATGACGATTCGGCTCAAAGAAGAGCTCATCATGAACTCTTTCAAGACCATCGACGGTCGTGGCGCCTCCGTACACATCTCTGGCGGGCCTTGTATCACGATCCAGTACGTGACCAACATTATCATCCATGGGATCCATATCCATGACTGTAAGCAAGGTGGGAACGCTATGGTGCGGAGCTCTCCAAGGCACTTCGGGTGGAGAACCATATCGGACGGTGACGGTGTCTCTATCTTTGGAGGGAGCCATGTTTGGGTAGACCACTGCTCGCTCTCTAACTGTGAAGACGGGCTCATTGATGCTATTATGGGATCGACGGCTATAACTTTGTCTAACAATCATATGACACATCATGATAAAGTCATGTTGCTTGGTCACAGTGATACTTACACTCGTGACAAGAATATGCAAATCACCATTGCTTTTAACCATTTTGGTGAAGGCCTTGTCCAAAGAATGCCCAGGTAAAAACACAACAAAGTTTGATTTTTTTATTCTTCTTCTCTACTTTGTGCTATAGTAGTAGTTAATATGATTGTGACTATGGAGATATAGATTAATATTTTGTTGGGACCAATGTGTTGTTGCTGTTGTTGTGTAGGTGTAGACATGGGTACTTCCATGTGGTGAACAATGACTACACACATTGGGAGATGTATGCGATTGGAGGAAGTGCTAATCCTACAATCAATAGTCAAGGGAACAGATTCTTGGCCCCAAACATCAGATTCAGCAAAGAAGTGACAAAGCACGAGGACGCGCCTGAGAGCGAGTGGAAGAGGTGGAACTGGAGATCTTCCGGAGATTTGTTGCTAAACGGTGCGTTTTTCACTCCCTCAGGTGGTGCAGCCTCGTCTAGCTATGCAAAGGCCTCGAGCCTTGGGGCTAAACCGTCTTCACTCGTTGGACCATTGACGTCTGGGTCTGGTGCACTGAACTGCCGTAAGGGTTCCCGTTGCTGATTGTGGCTTACTTGGTCAACACTTTTACCCAAATTATATATAGGAAAAGGCAATTAAAAAGCCACCACCAATTAAGGGGGATGATTAATACGATCTTTTTACCCCCCTTTTTTTAGTTTTTACTTTTTTTCAATTCGGGTAAAATTGTAAGGAGAATACAACCTCTGGCTTACTCTGCTCTTTAGGACTCTTCTTAAGGATTCTCTGTTTTAAGGAATCTGTTAATTAGGTTAAAAGTGTGGGAACAAGTGCAGATGTGTTGATCTTTGATATTAATATAAATATGATTTGTCTTTTACTTCTATTTTTCTTATTATATGAGTGAGAGCCTTAACAAAGATTTCAATAGGTTCGTTACAAAAACCAACTTGATGTATCAATTTGCGTACGCACAAATGATGGAGAGGTGTTAGTTACAATGTGACCATTTATTTGGCAGATCAAGAAAAGGATTTGGTTTTCCAAATAAAAAATTTTCAGAAGTTTGGAGTGTAATGAAATAATGGTAACAATTTTTGGGTCAAAGCTGTGGTGAGCCAGTCAATGTTTGACCAACTCCTCGCGACTTTTTTTTTTCATCTCCCTCTGACCGATGCATCGATTCCGGTTAAAATAAAGAAATACAAAAAATTACCCTTAAAAATAGGAAAGCAGAAAAGTGGAGTTGATATAAGATTGGAATAGAAAAAAGAGGAAAGAAAAAAAAGAAAAGAGAAAAAATTGGGAGCAGTCAAGAAGAGCACAGTAGCTCTACTTTTGATGGGCTTGTCTCATATTCGTGTTTGACTACCTACTGTCCACTGATTATGGGATTACATTTTTAAAATTTTGAAAGTAACTAATTAAACAACTAACCACCTTTGCTTTTTTGGCCATGTGCAACATTTTACTACTTGTTAAGGATGGCCATGTGCAACAATAATAATAACAATGGCGTTTAGGCTTTGAAACTAAAACAAATGGTCTCAACGAAAACGAATGATGTGATGTGTAGTTGATGTGATTAGTGCATGCGCTGGTTCGATTATTTTGGTGAGTCAGTGAGTATTAAATGATGCAAAGAGAGAATAATTTTTTTGCTTGGGGGTCATATATTAGATAGCATCAAACTAGGTAAAGAGAATTTTCATCATATTGCTTGCTTTCTTGGTTTTATTCTTTTGTTTAAATTCATTGAGTTATTGGGAAACTAAGGAAATGGAGAGGTTTAAATGTCGATGCTGAGTTTGGGCGACTCACGTGGAGTCAGTTAATTCAGTTGTTGTCACTTGCAACAAATCTATTTGAGTGTGTCTCGTTATTTTATTTGGATATGTTAACAGATTGTATTACTGAATTTGGGAATGCCTGGTATGTATTTCTTTTCTATATAATTCGTATCAGAGTGCATTATTCATTATGAATTTAAAAAATAAGTGGTTGGTTCTCTAGAGAGCTAGGAAGGTCAAAAATAAGTTTCTCACTTCGAATCTTCAATCTTCCTTAACACTCAAACAAATAGTTATCAGAGCTCACAGTGTTTTTTGACCGATTATATATAGAATATGGAATCATCTTTGGACCAAGTTGAGGTCGAGGAATAAGATTGAAAATGAGACTTTGTACTGTAGAAACCAAAATATTCTAGTTCCAGTGGAAGTTTTTGCTATGTTCTGATTTAATGATGTTACTATGTTAGATTACAAAAAATAATTAAAAAACTGTATGGTTTAAATCAGATAATTTGGGTCAAAATAATTAAAAGATCATTTTAAATGGGCTGCAAATATCAATATGTTTAAATATAAATGAATGTAAATTCAGGGTGGGTTTATTCAAATTAACACTCCTTTTTTTTTTTGTCATCATTCAAATTAACACTCCTATGTGCTATGGTACATAGTTAAATACTAGAGAGGCTAATCTCCAAAATATATCACCGAGTGCAAATTATTATGATTGGCCTATTTTGTTTGGTTTGGTTATTTGAATTATTATTTTGTAACTTAGGTGTAAAATGTAATGTAGTAAGAGCCCATTCGAAAGTTGCTCTCTCGGCCCTCCTTATCCTTATCTCGCCCACCGTTCTAAAACCCTTCCCTTCCTCTCCTTCCACTTCTATCTCTCTCTCACACAAATATTCAGCAAGCAAATGGCTTCTTCTATCGTTACCTCAAGCTTGAAGCCCTTAGCCATGGCTGATTCTTCCTCTTCTACCCTTTTCTCCCATCCTTCCGTTTCCACTTCCATCTCTTCCTCCAGAATTCGCTGCTCCAATGTTTCTCTCCTCACCGGACGCATTAACATGCCCCTCTCTTTCTCCAGCTTCTCCCTATCTCTCAAATCCAAAACCCACCTTCAAAAGTCCCCCTTTGTCTCCTTCGTTGCCCAGACTTCGGATTGGGCTGAAGAAGGTGGGGAAGTAAACGTCGCCGTTGAGGAGAACGAGGACACTTTCGAGTCACAAGATGGGGAAGCAGATGTCAGCGAAGGAGCTGATTTCCCTGAGCCACCGGAAGAAGCCAAGCTCTTCGTCGGGAATTTGGCTTATGATGTTGATAGCCAAGCCTTGGCTATGCTCTTTGAGCAAGCCGGTACTGTTGAAATCGCTGAGGTGAATTTTCCTGCTTTCTTCTTGTGCTCTTATGCTCATTATGCATTGTTTAAGCTCATATCTGTTCTGTGCATTGCAATTAGCATCATATATTTGTCAAATGGATGATGAAAGTAAAATGCTTGGCTTCTAAGTGTGTTTGGAGCTTCTCTGAATCGAGAGTATTATTCAAGTGGTCAGAATTGTGTGTGTTGAGTTCCTATCTGTTGACATTATGCTTTTGGGTTTAAGTGAATCTATGCAGTTGGTGTTATAATGTTACTCAAGGCCTTCCCTTTATTCAGTTCAAGAGATAATGTTGGTAATCCTAACTTATTCTTTGAATTCTTATGGTTGAAGGTTATATACAATAGGGAAACCGACCAGAGTCGTGGGTTTGGATTTGTCACAATGAGTACGGTGGAAGAAGCTGACACAGCTGTCGAGAAGTTCAACCGTTATGTAAGTTGATATCTTTCAATGATTTCTGAAGAATTCGCATGTGTTGTGATGAGATGATGTTCATTTGTTTTTGGTGCATAAGTAGCATTGTTGTTCTTAATCCAACCAGAGTTCATGTCTTTTTGCTCCAAGAAAACAGTTTTTGTGTTTCCTTTGTATGTTACTATTTGTCACACTCTCTCTGTTTCTTTTTGTCGATTGACTATTGAAAAGCTTTATCATTTTATCCATTTAATGCGTTATCTCAGTTGTTCACTACCTACACCCATTTGTTGCATCTACATTGACCGTGGCTATGACATTTTTTAGCAAATGTTGAGTTGGGGATTCGCTAACATGTGATTCTGTCTGGGAGAGCAGTACTGATCATCTGTGTTGGTATTTTCATGGTTTATCAGGATTTGAACGGACGTCTTCTAACAGTCAACAAGGCAGCTCCAAGAGGATCACGTCCAGAACGGGCACCTCGGGTATATGAACCTGCATTCAGAGTCTATGTAGGGAATCTCCCATGGGATGTGGACAATGGTCGTCTAGAACAGGTTTTCAGTGAGCATGGTAAAGTTGTGGAAGCTAGGGTGGTTTATGACCGTGAGACAGGTCGTTCACGTGGATTTGGGTTTGTCACAATGTCTAACGAGACTGAACTTAATGACGCCATCGCTGCTCTTGATGGACAGGTAATCTCTTTTTCCTCATATATGGTTATGCTAATGCAGCTAACATGATATTGTGATGTATCCCTCAATTGATCTTTGCTTGCGTCTTTTTCTGCAGAACATGGAGGGTAGAGCAATCAGAGTGAATGTAGCGGAAGAGCGTCCAAGGCGTGGATTTTAAAGCTGAGATTATCTGTGCCCTCTCTCTCCCCCCTCTTGCATTTTGTTTAGACGAGATTCTTACACTCTTCAACGATTGTTTTTGGCTGAACTCTAAATGCGAAAGTTAAGCTTCTTCTAAAGTAATATGTATTATTTCTCTTTGATGATCTATAGTTCATATTTTAATTTCCTAATTGCTGGCGTTCCATTCTGACTGACTTGGAATGTGAAGCTGCAATCATAGTAAAGGTCATCAAGTCTTGTCTGGATCTAGGCACTAAGCGATTGCCTCTCTTTAGACTTCATGAAATCCTATGAAAAAGTTATATGTCTATCTGTGGATAATATCTTAATTGTCTATATGGGTACGAAGGAACTTAGGGATATAAAAGTTCCTAGCTATTTTACTCTCTTGATCTACCTAGTAATCCAACCTAATCTTTCAACTTTTATTGGTATTAAGAGGTTCTTAATAAAGAAGAAGAAGATTGGTATCTATAATTGTGCTCTTAAAGTGAACCACTGCCATAATCTCCCAATGGGTAACAACACTCTGACCCAACAACCAACAACTCATACATGAGAAGACTAGTCTTCATTATAAGCATTGTGTCCTTAATTCAAATCACACCGACATACAGTACATCATAAACTTCACTTTTTAGTGAATCTTAAAATATGCAACTACATGGCTAATGAAAGACATCGACGTTGTTAAATAGCAAAAGGAGTTGTTACTTTACAAAGTATCAATAATAAAAAGAAAGTTATGGGTCACCAAGTAGGGGGCTGTTGGCCAGGGACTCGTAGTCGTCGACTAGGCTGCCAGGCAAGCTTCGGGTTCATGATGGCTAGTTCAGGGAGTCGAGGTTTTTTCTAATATGGCTTAAAAGGCCTAAACTCATATGATATTACCTACGTCTAGCTGGAATCTTAGCCCTAAATCCATTTTTGAAGTTTCGGGAGATAATACAAGAAACTCGTGTAACGAAATGCACACACACACAGACACACTCGCTTTTCCTTTTTCCTTCTTTCCTTTGTAAGCTAAGAACAAATGATAAAAAGCTTACCCCTTTTATGAAATGTTCTCACTTTCTTACCATGTCTCTCGCCCATGCTCGGTACTTTACTTAGTGCTGGGAGTGTTGTGCTAGGACACAGCCGCAATTTGACCCACAGCAATTTTGTAAGGGAAAAAATCATTTATACTTTAGAGCCTAAGTTGTAGAGAAATCGGGAATGTAATGATCACTATTACGAGCGCCTTAGTAATCGCAGACAAGTGATACAATGCAGTGATCCTTTGAGCTAGGTGAAACGATTTGACTTATGACCTAAAGAAATAACCTGAATTCGAGCTTAAGAAGCCCTCATAGCTAACTCTTATAGGCGTGACAAATATACCTCTCTCATCATTGAACTCTCTCACGTATTTGTAAAAGATATACGATCCAGCTTCTATATAGTCCTTTAACTGGGAATTAGATTCAACTGATGATATATGGTGATTTCATTAAAGTGAAGTATACATATGCATTTTAAAAAGAAGAAAATCAAGAAGTTAAAGGAAAAGTGTCAATCGTGCTCGTTCAGTCGCTTTAAGAGAATATGGAAATGCAACATTTGTCGGGATACAAGAAAAGAAATGGTCCATATCCATATATATATATATGTATATGCATGTGCAAACACTCCTAACACTGCGTAAGAAAATACTAATGAATAGAGAGCAAAATATTTAAAGAAACAAAGTGTATGAGAATAGAGAGACATATTGAAGATTCATTTTCAAGGCCAGATCTTGTCTTGGAACTCTCTTATCCCAAACTTCTCTCAGTCCTTTAGCTTCTCTCGACCAGTCATTCCATTAATTTTCACACTTGTCTCTCTATTAATTGTTTTTGTATCCATCTTCAAACGTTTTATAGCATTACTAGCAAATTATTATTAATTAATATTGTCACTATCATTCGAACATCCACAAAAAACGTGAATGTGTCATATTTTTCTTAGACAAAATAATGGATATAAAACAGTCCAAAAACATAAACTAAGTACTAGTATCATTACATTATAGCTACCTAAATCTCTAACAAAAATAAAAAAAACTACTAATTGATTATTACTAGTTTGTTAACATAAACAGAGGAACATAGAGATATATAAATAGTTTGACAAAACAAGAAACGGGGCGATGAGATATAAAGAGGATGGAGGATGGGATAGTATTGGTCCCCTCTCCCATGATCCTGCCTGTAACTTCATTCTAGGGCACCCAACCATCCACGTGTACCCCCTCAAACTCTACAACCTGTAATTTCATTTCTTGTGTTCTCCAATTTTAATTAAGTACCCCCAAAAAGTTTCTTCATCTTCTTTTTATTCAATCTCGAAATCATACTATAGACAACAAATTTAGCTAGCTACACACACAAAGTTTGAGATAATTTAAGAATCTTTTAATGGACTTGATAATGTTATCCCATGTGAATCACACATGCTTTCATGATTTATATCATATCATGTGTACTACTACTCTTGTAGTTGATCAACCTCTCTATCTATGTTTACTCAATATTGTAGGTAGCTCTCTCTTTTGTAGTTTATCATAGCTTGTAAATTGCACACTTTAAGTTAAATTTATAAACATAAGAAAACAAAAAAAAAGAAACGTCATTTTTTTTTTAGTTTTTGTAAATCCCCAAATAATGGTTTTTGTTTTTAGACGCAATACACAGAGAAAGAGACAGGATCCTCATTTTCGTTCTGGTCAATAAAAATTAAATATTCAATTATAATTTTGCAAAAAAAAAAAAAGAAACAAAATAATATTAAGGTTTTTTTTTGGTTGACAACAAATTATTTAGCTTCAACAAATCGGTCAGAGCTCAGACTCTCTCTCTCTCTCTCTGTATCTCTCTAAAAGAAAAAGAAAGACAAAGGAAAAGAAAAGAATGTTTCCTCGCAATCATCATCATCTTCTTCGTCTTCTTCTCTGAACGACTATACACTTACTTACCACTACGATTTGTATACGCAACACATACACACAGAGAAAGAGTTTGGATAGTGTGGACTCTGTTTCGAGAAGATGGGAGGTGTGACTTCTTCAATGGCGGCCAAGTTGGCGTTTTTTCCGCCGAATCCGCCTTCGTACAAGCTTGTCAGAGATGAAACAACGGAGCTTCTGCTCATGAACCCTTTTCCCCATCGAGAAAACGTCGACATTTTGAGGCTGCCCACGCGCCGAGGCACCCAAATCGTCGCCATGTACATCAGGTACCCTATGGCCTCCACTACTCTTCTCTACTCTCACGGGAATGCCGCCGACATCGGTCAGATGTATGAGCTCTTCATCGAGCTTAGTATTCACCTCCGCGTCAATTTGATGGGGTTTGTTCCTTTCCTTTTTCTATTGCCCAGATCAGATTTTTTCTTTCTATATTTTAGCTCAGGAGCTTGCTCAGAAATCTATAGACTTTTTTTTTTTTTTTTTGTGATGTCTCTGCTTTCTGGGTTTGTGCAAGTAGTCGATTTCGAAGTTTCAAGATGCAAAATTGACAAAATTTGTGCGCTGAGATTTGCTCGAGTTTTGGTTCACTAAAGTGGATTTGTGATTAAGCTGGGGGTTTTTGTGATTCATAAATCTACTTAAGTTTAGGTTCCTGTAGTCATAAAAAATCTAGGATTTAAGTGCAATTGTATTGTTTGTCTATGGGAGATTCTTGTCTCTAGGGTTTGTTCTAAATCGGGATCTCTACTACTACACCTAGAGGCAAAAAGTAGTTTTGAGGTTTAGATGTTTGATTTTGATTGTTGACATCAAGTGGTCTTGGGATACATTTTTCCATTTCTAGGAATTAAAGATCTGTTATTTCGTATCTGTTTCTGGAGGCAAAGTATTGAAATACCCCAGATTGTACCTTCTTCTATGTTTTTCAACCGTATCTTAAAATGAATCTGAATATAGTAGGATTTTCTTTCATAAGCTTACGGTTTCCATCTCATAACATGAGAAAATCATCTAAATATGTTGTGGTGTTTACAGGTATGACTATTCAGGATATGGCCAATCATCAGGGAAGGTGAGTAACCACTTATAGTAAAGATCTCTTAGTTATGTGCTTCAAATGTTGGTCCATCTACACATTAATCTCCACTTTGTTGCAGCCCACCGAACAAAATACTTATGCTGATATCGAGGCTGCTTACAAATGTCTGGAAGATAATTATGGGGCAAAGCAGGAGAACATTATCCTCTATGGCCAGTCTGTCGGTAGTGGTCCGACCGTCGACCTTGCTGCACGTTTGCCTCGACTAAGAGCTTCCATTCTTCATAGTCCAATTCTTTCTGGGCTTAGAGTTATGTATCCAGTTAAGCGAACTTATTGGTTTGACATATACAAGGTAAACATAATACCCTTTTGGTTTCTATACATAATGTTGCTTATGAATATTCTTCCTCCTTGACTGCGTTTTTGTCTGATCTTCTTCAGAACATTGACAAAATTACACTGGTGAGGTGTCCTGTCCTCGTGATTCATGTAAGTTTTCGTGATCGCAGATTATTGATTGGAAAGATTGAGTTAACCAAGTTATAGGCTAAACATTTTGTTATGCAAGATCCATTCTTTCTTGTATGAATCTTTCTCTTCTAATCGTCAGTATTAGTTTTAGTTATGGTGAAAGCTTTTCTGTTTGCAGGGAACAGCTGATGATGTGGTTGACTTCTCTCATGGGAAGCAGCTTTGGGAACTTTGCCAAGAGAAATATGAACCGCTATGGCTCAAAGGTGGAAACCATTGTGATCTTGAACTCTTTCCTGAATACATTGGCCATCTCAAGAAGTTTGTGTGCGCTGTGGAGAAATCCACATCGAAAAGAAACAGTTCTTTCTCAAGAAGAAGCATGGAAGGGTGTGAACAACCTCCTCGGCATAGTGTAGATGCCCCAAGGAAGAGTAAGGACGGACGAGAAAAACCGAGGAAAAGCGTAGACAGACTAAGGTTTCAGGGATACAAGTTGAGCCACATAGAGAAACCCGAGAAGTTGAAGGTTCCATTTGAGGAAATGGAGAGGTCGAGGAGAAGCGTGGACATATACAGAGATAAGTCTCAGCCGATGGAGAGAGCACGTAAGAGCGTGGATTGGTTGGACAGAAGTCGAGCAACCGAATGAAAATGGGGTTTATTGTCAAGTTTGTATTTGAATGTCGTTCAATTTATTGGGGTGTGTGTTTGTATTGCAGTTTGTATGTCAAGTTCAGATACAACAGGAAAATAGATTTAACCAATTCGGTAACTTTCTGACCGTTTCCAACACGACAGTTTTGACTGTTTTTTTTTTTACAAGTCTGATGTCTGGTTGGTCTTGCACTCAATTTGATATAGGCATATAGCCAAGCCAATGTCGATGACAGAGGCGATGACAATGTCGTTGTGGATATTTATGGGCCTACGGCCCAAACATATTGGTCCAATAGCCGGTTCATCTCACTTATGTAATAAACGCCTCTAATGGGGTTTTCAAATCGAATTAATAAAGCAATGAACCGGTCTCGAACCGAGTTCTAAAAGATTGGTTCAGTAAAAGCCAAAACTGATCATATCGGTCCAATAACCCGAAACTGACTAATCTTTCCTTCCTTTGTCTCACTGTTGAAGCGCAAACGCGAAGAAGATTATCTTCTCTGTCACTCACAACTGGAACTAAAAAGCTCAGGGCTTAAATCAAATGGAGTCTCTATCTCTTCCCGTTCTAAATCCTCTTTTAGCTTCTCGTTCCAATCTTTTGAGAAACCAGAGCTCGAGGATGACCTCTCCAATTAATAATTTCACCAGGGGAGGCATATCCCTTTCAACTGTTCACCGCCTTGTAAGTTGTTTCTCCGTTTCTCTTATGGCTTTTCATCGTATGAGAAAGTAAAAATTATGTTTTCTTTGTTTAGAGAGTAGGTGTTGTAAGGATGCAAGCTGTTAATGAAGATATTGATCTTAAGCAAATGAGAGACATGGCTGCTGCTAAAAAGCGTTGGGATGGTTTGGTAATAATCTGAATCACCTTATGCACATTTTTCCATCTTTATCTGATAAACCTGAACATCCGAGTCTTCATGATGGTTCTTATTTCCATTTTCATTGTTGTTCAAATGTTCTCCTTATTCAAATATTTTTAACAATTTTATTGTTTGCTTAGTTAAGGGAAGGAAAAGTGAAGCTTCTTACACCAAGAGAAGCAGGCTATGCTATTTCTCTTTCAAACAAACCTCTTCTTGATGTCCGCCCTTCTAGCGAGCGCAACAAGGTACATTCATAGATGATGATTCGGGTTATAAAACTCCTAGCTATCCATAGATAATGATTGTCCCACCTTCATCCTTGAATTGTAATGTTATTGCATAGAATTTGACTCATGTATCTCACCTTCGTATGGCGTGTTCTTAAGTTAGTACGAGCTCCTTGGCTGCTGTTATTGTTTCTCATTTCCATGCCTCTTATTCAGCAGTGGTAGTCTGAAATCAGAATATTTCCTTGGACTATATTGTTTCAGTGAGGTAATGGTTCTTCCTCGTATTTTCCCTTCTATTTTTCTCTTAAGGCATGGGTTAAAGGCTCCACCTGGGTTCCTATCTTCGAAAATGAGGACAACCTTGACGCTGGAACTCTTTCAAAAAAAGTCACCAGTTTTGCTATGGGTACTTCTTCACCATTTTTGACCTATTGAATCTAGGAATATCGGATCAACTCCTTGTTTATCTTTATGTTTGCAATGCCTATTATCCTCTAATCCCACCTAAGATAAAGACTATAACCTGAGTAAACCCATTATTTACTTCTTTTTTTTGTGTGTGTGGAGATTTCACCATGTTTTCGCTTCTACAGGGGGATGGTGGAGTGGTGCACCTATATTATCTTTTAATAGGTATGGCTGCGATATTAAGATGACCTTCTTGTATGCATTCTGAGTTTCTGACAGTCTTATTTGCTTCTTGGTTTTCTATTTCGTTTGTAGGCTCTTCTTGTCAAAGGTTGAGGAGAAATTCCCAAAAGAAGCAGAGCTGATTGTTGCTTGTCAAAAAGGCTTGAGGTAAGGGACTCACTGCTCCTTACTAAGTAGAATAGAGTAACTAACCTGTTTTGAAATATGTGGTTACTTTTATGTAATCATGAATAAGTTGCTGGTTAGGTTCTCAGCCTATATATTATATTATTCAGAGAATTGTTTGGTGGTTTATCCAGGTTTTGGATTTCTAAGGGGGGTAACTGAAGATGTATCATTATCAAATGGTTTCAGTTCCTTAGAAATAAAATTTAGTTTTATACTGAGAGCTAGTATGTTGATGGTATAACTGTGAATCACAGGGTTCATATTGTTGGATGATCCTTATATTTATACTTGAATCGAAAACTTTATATTGTCAGATCCTTAGCTGCTTGCGAGCTACTTTACAATGCAGGGTATGAGAATCTTTTCTGGGTACAAGGTGGTTTAGAATCAGCTCAAGACGAGGTTATACAAATGTTTTCAACTTTGTGTTTTGTTTGGAATTTTTAGTTTCATTTTTGGATTGGAAAGTCTACAACATCGATAACTAATCCATTCATTATGTGATACCAGGATCTAGTCACAGAAGGTGTCCAGCCTTTGAAGCTTGCTGGCATTGGAGGTTTTTCAGAGTTCCTTGGGTAAGTATCTATTTTGCTACTCTACTAAGATTTTACCACAGCTTGATAAGATAAGTAAAGGTTTCAAAGACCATGAGGAGAAAAATGTATAGGCCTTGTATTTATTTTAGTGACTGTAAGTCAATGGCCTAGCTCTATATCATATGCAGGATTTTGGCATTTTATTCATATATCCCCTTTTGCTTGCAGTTGGACAGACCAGCAAAGAGCTCAAGCTGCGAAAGAAGGTTGGGGCTACCGTTTAGTATATACTGCGCGTCTGGTGAGTTTTGTGAATCAAAATCTTTGTAACTTTTGTAAACCATATTTTCCTCATGACTGCTGATCTCATGTCCTGTCATATATGCAGTTTGGAGTTATTCTGGCAGCCGATGCCTTGTTCGTTGGTGCTCAGCAATTGGGACATTATATTCAGGAGTTAAGAGGCCATTAGGATCTCTCTATAACCCAAGCTTAGTGTGGTTATACTTCTCTTCAAAAGAAACTGTAAATTCTGTTGAAAATATTAGTTTTTGAAGTCCCCTAGAGTAGTTTGAATAGTGAGAATGGACATCTTTAAATTCTGAAAATCCGACGGTAGAATTGCTAAAAAAATCCCCCAATCCAAATTTAGCTTCTTCATTCCAATGGTTAGTAGTAGTTTCTATTTTTCAGAATTTTCACCATTTTTGTTCAACAAGTTTGGCAAAATTATGTTGAATAGCTCTATTGCATGCATTGTGTCAAACAAGTTGCAGTGTCCGGCAAACACTTTTACCAGTCTTATAACTAGCAATAACACTTCAAAGTTCGAACGACAACTGTCTGTCTGGTCCGCAACATTTTGTATATGTATTTGCTGTGTTCGACACCAAGGAAGGACACTCCGGTTTAGATTCTACTGTAACATTCATTGTTGACAAAAGTAGTAAAGTACCATAATTCAGAAAGGAAAAAAAGAGTTTGCATATTTCGACCCGGGTAAAAAGATGAAGATTAGAATTTAGAAATCTCGAGCCATCTAAGAATGCGTGACGTTTTGAGAGAAATAGAAAGCACTCCTTGCTGTTTCTTCTTTTGGGATAGTGGGAGCATATTCCCCACCAATAATTGAGCCAACTCAACTCTGGTTAAATCCAGCGCGGTTCCAACTAACCCTGGTTACAACATAGGGTGCTTACACGTGGACGGTGCAGATTGTTTTTGACTGCTTCTCTATCGCAATTTTGCAAAAGCTCTGGTTAAAAACTAGGGTTAGGCCTTCGATTCTGTTTACCCAAAAAAGCTATCGTCATCGCCGTTTGGCTTTGTGAAAATACAATCACCACCGATTAGATTTTTTCTCTGGTTCTGAGATTATGGAGATGGAGCGCGTGCATGAGTTTCCCCATACTCACATGGATCGTCGTCCCAGGAAGAGAGTGCGTCTCGGTTGGGATGTGTTGCCTCAGGCAACCAAGGTATTATTTTTATTCACCTCGTTTATCCATGATTCCAATTTGAATTTTTTGTTTGTTTTGTGTTTGATTTCCTTGATTTTTTTTTTTTTGATTTACAGTTTAAGATGGTTTGATTTTTTTTATTTGGTCAATTCTTATGGATCTGTGTAAGGCATTTTTTTGGGGGGGGGGGGGTCAATTATTCATTTTGAAGATACCAAATTTTTGTGTGATTAGGTGAATTTCGTGTGAGAATTAGGTGGTGTTTTACCTGTTCAGATCTATATAAACTTCAGTGAAATGGTTTAGATGTGTTAGGTTCAACTTTTTTGTGTGGTATGTTTTTGTTTGTATATGGTGAAATTTTTTTTGATCTGATGCATGGTTTGTCAATTTTGAGCTAGATGTTTTTTGCCTTTACCTCTCCAGTTCTATTACTTTAATATAATCGTTAATTCCTTATATCCGATGAAACTTAGGAAAAATGATTATTGATACACTCTGAAAGTACCGTAATTGTTTGGATTTAGATTTTGCCCTTTAGGTTTTAAGATAGGTATAGAACATAACTCAACATGTTGGCGTAGAAGGATAGTGGCAGGTTTTCATCTGTCTGTTATGGTACATGAATATGTGTAGGCTCAGGTAGGAATGTTTTGTGGGCAAGAGATTGGAAATTTGACAAGCTTTGCATCATCCGGAGCTCCTACAGACAATAGTAGCTCTTCTATTTGTGTTAAGGGTGTGGCTCGAAATGGTTCGCCTCCATGGCGAGAAGATGACAAGGATGGACATTACATGTTTGAACTGGGAGATGACTTAACTCCACGCTGTAATCCCACTTTTCCATTACCAAGAGCTGTTTTGATAATCCTGACTTATCTCTAGATTTTTTTTCAATGGCTTTTTACAGACTATAGATGTTGTGGTGGACCTTTTTGTATATTTTTGAAAATTTCGTTATTCTGATTGCTCTATGCTCTTCTTGTTTTGCAGATAAAATTTATAGCAAAATGGGAGAAGGTATGGATTTATGGTTGTTGTATAAGTTATTTATGTTTTTCATAGGTCCCAATGTAGTACTCATATCTTATTCAAATGTTTCTTGAATTGCCATTGTAGGTACCTTTGGTCAAGTGCTAGAATGTTGGGACAGGGAGAGGAAGGAAATGGTGGCAGTCAAAATTGTCCGAGGAGTGAAGAAATACCGCGAGGCCGCTATGATTGAAATTGAAATGCTGCAACAGCTTGGTAAACATGACAAAGGTGGCAATCGGTAAGTACTGCCTGCTGACTTTTCATCATGCATCACAAATCTGATAGAGTCGGGCATGGTTTCCCAAGTTTTTTTTTTTTGCAAAGGTTAAATCATTTTATTCCTTGCAGTTGTGTACAAATTCGGAACTGGTTTGACTATCGTAACCATATCTGTATTGTAAGTATTTTAGTCACTTTTGTGATGTCTATGATTTTCCCCGGTTTGGGAAATAGTTGGGGTTAAATTTTGTGGATGAATTTAAATGGTTGCAACAGGTATTTGAGAAGCTTGGATCAAGTTTATACGATTTTCTTCGGAAAAACAATTATCGCTCCTTTCCCATTGATCTTGTCCGTGAGATTGGCTGGCAACTCTTGGAATGTGTAGCATGTGTGTAGTCTTTGCAGTCTTTTCAATCAATCTACATGCTCTTGCATTTTCATCTGAACTTTGCTTGTTGTTGAGATGTTTAGAACATAAGTTTTTGAATTTTAGATCTTTCCAAATCTTATGGCAGTTTTTTCTTGTTTTGTTTTTGTCTGATTTTGCAGTTATGCATGACCTGCGCATGATTCATACGGACCTCAAACCAGAAAATATTCTGTTAGTCTCCTCGGACTATGTGAAAATTCCTGAGTACAAGGTTTATCTCGAACTTACCTGTGTGTGACCTTAATGTAATCAACTAGTTAAGTGCTAAAGGATTTTGTTGTGTTTTCTATTGCAGGGGTCCCGGTTACAAAGGGATGTTTCTTATAAAAGAGTGCCTAAATCAAGTGCAATAAAAGTGATTGATTTTGGTAGCACAACTTATGAGCGTCAGGACCAAACCTACATTGTGTCAACGAGACATTATAGGGCACCTGAAGTGATTTTAGGTGAGTTGTTGTAAAATAATTCATTCAAATCTCTAAATTCTGTTAAATTAATGTCAAACTAATGTAGAAACTTGGCCTTGCTTGCAGGTCTAGGCTGGAGTTATCCATGTGACGTCTGGAGTATTGGATGTATCATAGTGGAACTGTGCACGGTATGTGTTAGGAAGTAGTTCATTTTAATGGTTGTTTTGGAATTTATTCCTGTTTTTTTGGTTAGTTTTTTATTGAAACATTTGAGATTTGTAGGGAGAAGCATTGTTCCAAACACATGAAAACCTGGAGCATCTAGCGATGATGGAGCGTGTTCTTGGGCCGTTTCCTCAACAAATGTTGAAGAAAGTGGAGTGAGTTGAATCTAACATATGCTCTGAAGTGGTTTTATATATGTGGTCGGGTGTTTAACTGGCTTTTTTTTGGGTTGAATCATAAAGTCGGCATGCAGAGAAATATGTGAGAAGAGGTCGCTTGGATTGGCCGGATGGGGCAACCTCAAGAGAAAGCCTGAAAGCAGTATTGAAGCTTCCTCGGCTTCAGGTTTGTCAAGTGTAGACATATCTGGAGTTTGGTTTGGTGAAGTGTTCATCTGTGTTTACAAATGGCTTTGTATGTGTATGCTGCAGAATCTAATAATGCAACATGTGGACCACTCAGCGGGAGAATTGATAAACATGGTGCAAGGACTGCTTCGATTTGATCCTTCAGAGAGACTAACCGCTCGGGAGGCCCTGAGGCATCCTTTTTTCACAAGGAGGAGATAACGGCCCTTCAGAGATGTAAATAGAGAGTAAGATATGTATGATTGTAGTAAAGCCTTTTTCCCAAAAAGGTGTCACCTCACTCACAACCCCACGAATTCTGATATTAATTAAACAAAAATGCTTAGATCACTCTTTTAAAAGTGATAGGCAATTGTTTGTCTATCTTTTGTAAAACTCGATGGTTCAAATTCAAAGATTTTAATTTTCGACCTTTATCATCTACAAATAGAGATGGGTGGTTTATGCTTCAAGGGAAAGTGCTACTACTTATTCAACTATTGCAAATAACACCAAAAGGTAGAGTGAGTGCTTGATAAGACACAACAGCGATTGGAAGATGAAAGATTAAGAAGGCCAAAAACTAAGATGGAAAGATGAACTTATTTTTTGCAAAATATAATTAGTGATGTAATCTTCCTAATTTTGTCTAATTTTAAATTCTCGCAGTTGATGCATCAGCTAAAAGAAAGAGTACTCCATTGATGAAAAGTCAAAACAAAATAAAAATAAAAATAATAATTACCGGGTTACTTACTTACTTGTCGATAAGAAACAGCATGTAGTTGTATGAGCCAGCAAGAAAACTACAAGGTTGGTAAGAAAATACGCAGTTTCATATGATGATGAGTTTCGTTGTTTAGTTGTGTCTCCGCAATTAAGCCAATTTCCGCCTCTTCTCTTGGATTCTGCTTCGCCTCTGCTCGTCCTCTTATCCGATCTTCTCAGAGCTGTATTGTTGTAAGTGTGTCGTTTACTATAATGTTGTTGATTTATCATACGACTTCCGTCTCCATTTCACAATCTATACGCCGAGATCGAGCATTGATTGACTCTACGATTTGTCTATTACAATGGACTTTAGAAAAACTTTCTCTGACGGCTGGAATCAGATGTTATCATACATATGAATCTGCAAGTGCAATGTTCTACTACCCTTTGTTTTGTGACTTTTCAACTAGTATTGAATAAAAGGCTCTGTTCTAATTTGTGACATCATGTGCTGCTACTGAACAGGCTTTCCTTTCGTGGCATCAAATTTTTTTACAAAATCGTGGCTTTTATATTCTTGCTGGGAAGCTAAAATGTGATTCGTTATGATTGTTTTCCTTTGAACAAGTGTGCTTACATAACTTTTTTGATGTTTACAGACCAATAGGTTCATGGGTTCTGCAGCCAGACAGCCACTCTTCTCGTTTGGTGTTATTGCTGATGTTCAGTATGCTGATATTCCAGATGGCCGCTCGTTTTTAGGTGTTCCTAGGTATTACAGGAACAGCATCCTTGTCCTGCAACGAGCTGTTGAAACTTGGAACCAACACGGAAACCTCAAATTTGTTATTAACATGGGTGACATTGTTGATGGTTTTTGTCCCAAGGATCAATCTTTGTCTGCCACTAAGAAACTGGTCCGTGAATTCGAGAAATTCAATGGCCCTGTTTATCATATGATCGGCAATCACTGCCTCTACAATCTCCCCCGCGAAGAGTTGCTTCCTTTGCTGAACATCCCAGGTCGTGATGGCAATGCTTATTATGATTTTTCACCAACTCATGACTATAGAATTGTGGTGTTGGATGGGTATGACATCAGTGCTGTTGGATGGCCACAGGACCATCCTAAAACAATAGCTGCATTGAAGATACTTGAAGAAAAGAACCCTAACTCAGACAAAAATAGCCCCGCTGGGCTTGAGGATCTTGCGAGGAGATTTGTGAAGTATAACGGTGGTGTTGGGGAGAAACAGCTGCAGTGGCTTGACAGTGTACTTCAGGATGCATCCAATTCAAACCAGAGAGTTATTGTATGCGGGCATGTGCCTATGAGCCCTGGTGTGGCATCTAAAGCAGCCTTGCTATGGAATTTTGATGAAGTGATGGGCATTATACACAAGTATGACTCTGTCAAAGTTTGTTTATCTGGACACGATCATAAAGGAGGATACTTTGTTGATTCTCACGGTGTTCACCATAGGTCCTTGGAAGCTGCCTTGGAATGCCCCCCAGGTACATATTCGTTTGGATATATCGATGTATATGAGAACACGTTATCTCTTGTTGGTACTGATCGGATGCAAAGCACTGATTTTGAGATCTAGAGCTTTCCTGAATGATCAATTATCTGAAACGCAGAATCTGTAATCACCAATATCTATTTATATGATGATTATTTTTGTCAAAATTACTTCTATATTATTGTGCTACCATATGGCTGCATACCTGTGTATTTGGAGCTTTGCAAATAAGACGGATATAATATACTGTACACTAGTTTCAATTGATTGGATACAGGTTATTTTATGAACTTGCATAAGTTTTTAATAAGGAAACTATATCCTATGTTCTGCGTTGGGTTTAGTTATGCGATTAAAGTAAGTCTCTAGCGAAACTGCGAAAAGTAATCTTTTGTAGTACTTAGCTGAATATTAGGTGTGACGACCAAAAAAAAAAAAAAAAAAAAAAAAAAAAAAAAAGCTGAATATTAGGTGTACTTCTGTTTCAGCTAATTCAGTGCAACCAGAATAAGAAATATAGATGATCTTTTATCTTAATGTATTTTAGATCTAGTAGTAACGTTAGACCTTGGTTAGCAGAACTACTAGTATTGGTATGTTGATTAGATCAAGTGTTCAGTAGATACTAGATAGTATTCTGTATCCTGAAACTGCTCAATGAATTTGAAAGAAGAAACTCATTTTCATGGAGGCAAGTGTGATGATTAGAGTGCTAATGGAAGGAAAATATTGATACTTGTTTATGGTACTGCTTGGAATATGAGATAGTCATCTTGATTTAGATAAATGTGTAATGAATTAGTCCCAACAAGGCTCATGAGTTCTGTTGTCACAAAAATAGCTCGTTTAAGTAGCACTTGCATACTGTCACTGAAGAAACAGGAGATGTAAGTGATTATGATACCGAGTTCAGTAATTCGCGATGAAGAATGGAAACGGTAATATTTTTGATACCAAGTTTATTAATTCTTGCTGAATCGTTTTGGTGAGAGTATACTACAACAGGAGTTCTTACTGGGGTCGAATCGAATGATACTCAGCTGCAGTCTGGTTTGTAATATTCACTAATCTTTTATTCAAAAGGTCTGCCTAAAGCAGCTTCATAAAGAGAAATTGTGGAGACTGCTTTAGCTAGCAAAGTTTGTGAGCATATGTTCTATAGATATTTATCTGGCACATAATTTTTTTTAGTGGACAAACAATCAAATCCCAGACAACAGACAACTCTTTGAAAAAGACTTGATGTATGATAAAAGTTTTTTTGTTTTTATTTTTGAACATTATTTTCTGCGCCTGAACAAGTGATCATAGTTTGATAGTCAACTATGAATGTATATATTGAACTACTGAATAATGACGTTAGAAATTATGTATAAAAATTTGCATTTAGTGATGTTCGGCTTAAATGGTGGATAATACGTAAGAGAACTCAATATTGATTTTTCATCCCTTCGTCACGGTCAGGAGACATAGCTCTTCAGGTTGGAGACAACAGAGACAAATGTAGTCTTATGAAACACATGACTCACTTTCCTAATTTCTTTAAATCTTTAAGGATACGTAATATTTCTTTCTCTCTCTCTCACAATTTGTCTTAAGCAAACCATACACTTTCTCGCATTAATTTTTTAAGAAGACCATCATTTTCAAAGAAGAAAAAAACTCTTGAATTTTTGTTCATAAAAAAGCATATTCCTTTTCAAAAAAAATTAGATTCAACGATATATGGCCATCCAAACTCTCCTCTTTGCTTCACTTCTCATAGTCTCATTCATCGATTCAAACCTTGGAGGAACTAAAGATAGACTCTTATCTGAGCTCCAAAACTCACTCGATGTCACCGCTAAACCCGCCCAAGATGGTGTAGGTTTGTGAAGTCTTATAGCCTTTTTGCTTATGTACTTTTGGTTCATAATCTTTCCAAATCCTCCACTAAACTATATTTGGATTTAGTGAAAGCGATCTTTAGCTAGGCTTATAGAGTTAATTAACCATACTTTGGGATATATATTACCTATTTTAACTTGAAACTGTTATACCCTTATGCATCTCTATAGATTTAAGCACAATTCGAGTCTCCGATACATTTATATATTAAAAAAAAAACTATATACTCATCTATATATACATAGTTAAATTTGTACATGAATCTCTTCAGTTTTGGAAGCTGGAAAAGATATGGTGACAATTACATGGAAGCTAAAGTCGTCGGCCAAGGTCGATGCTGATGCTGCCTTCAAGACAATCCAAGTCAAGCTTTGTTATGCACCAATAAGCCAAGTTGATAGACCGTGGCGCAAGACTTATAACGAGCTCCGTAGGGACAAAACCTGCCCTCATGAGATTGTGTCCAAGCTATATGACAGGACCCCTCAATCACTTGATTGGACCGTCCAACTTGATATCCCCACTGGAACCTACTTCGTACGTGCTTATGGAATTGATGGAGATGGCCACGAAGTAGCATACGGGCAGAGCTCGGACGAGGGCAGGACGACGAATCTCTTCAGCGTTCAGGCCATTAGCGGTGGACATGTGTCGCTAGATATAGCATCCATATTTTTCAGCGTGTTCAGCGTTGTTTCTCTGTTAGTCTTCTTTGTCAGGGAGAAGAGGAAGGCCAAGTTAGGTCAAAGGAAGTGAATGGATTAACTATGGGGTCTTTGTTAAGTGAGTGATGGCTTTTAGTTTTATATATGAGTCGTTCTGTTTCGTTTGGTTTGAAGAAATATATATATATTGTTCTACTTTCCTCTTTTGTTGTTTTCGTTCGAGTATGCTTAATTAACGGTTGTTCACTTGTACACAAGTAATACTTAAGATTAGAAAGAAAAAAACGTATAGTAAATTATGTTTGATGAGTATCATAGATTCATAGCCAAATTAAACTCAAAAGGATGAAAATTCTTATGTTGTTTGATTAAGTAACGACCAACTCTATATATAAGACCAACATTATCAAATATAAGATCTTTTCTTTGTAAAAACCGGGGGATCTTAGCCTCTAAGATCCCACCAATAATGATGCCCTAAGTATACTCCAGGTTTAATGAATTGATAACCCCTAGATAAAAAAAAAAAAAGAAGGAATTTGATAACCAGTTCTTGTCCTCCTCTAAAAGGGCTAAAATTAAACCCAAATTATATGAAATATTGATGTACCTTAACTTGGAGAATTCCACTGATGTGTAGTCATCTAATTCAGTCAGAATGTTCTACTTCTTCAACACAAGTTCTCCTAATTTTTTCTTCGATTCTTCCCACTTGAAATTAAATTATATTCAGCTAACTTAAATTCCTTAATTTTCTATTGGGTGTTCACAGAATATTTGTGACTTTTCTACCGTTTGGTTTTTACCTTTACGTGAAATTTTAAGTGCATTATTCATTTATTTGTATATTATTTCCCCCAAAAAAAAAAAGGAGCAGGCTGGGGAATCCCGCCTAAGGGAAAAATCTGAAACTGAAATTGAGAAAGTTTCTCTCGGCATTTCCCAATCCCAGACAACATGAGCATGAGCATGAGCATGAGCACTCCCATGGAGATTGCCGAGCCAAACCCTATGCTGGAGGAGGCTTCGATTATCACTCTTCCCAACGCTTCCATGGATGTCTCCTCTCACCAAAATCACACTCAATCAATAACGACCATCCCGGAGCAAACAGCCGTCGCAGACCCAATCGCTTCACCCAGTCCTCCGCCTCCTCCTCCTCCTCCCCCTTGCCTCCACGAGAACAAATTCCTCGTATCTGGTACACCCGGTTCTCCATCCTTTCGCTTGTTGGATTCGCTTATTGTGCTTCTCTTCTATGAATTCCTCTTTCGATCTCTGTGTTTCTTTCTAGTGGAGGTCTGCTTAAAGCCTTCAAGCACGGCTCGTCTAGAGGATGTGCGGAGAGCTGTAGAACGGTTTGTTTTTCTCATTTTGCTCTTCTATTCTAGTGGAGTTCTGATTGGAATCTGTTGTTTCGTTTTGTTTAATGGGATAGTTTGTGTTTGCTCTAGGATGCTGGAAAACAGGAGCATGAGCTATGCAGATGGGCTGGTTTTGATTCCTTCTGACGACTTGTTTCTTGTTCAAAATGTGCAAAGAATATGCATTTGTGATACAGGTAAGTCTTAGATTTCAATCCCTTTTTCAATAACTTAATTCACATTTTATAGGATTTTTGCTTATGCTATAGAGCATAGTTGTGGGTAATAGTCAGTTAAAATCGCTTTTCCGGGTTTGATGTTACTGATCTATATCTGCCTCGTGTATCTAGAGGAATGGGTGAAAAACAATGATGTTCTCTTGTTCTGGCAAGTGAAGCCAGTTGTCCACGCCTTTCAGGTAAATGCAAACCTGATTAAGTTGAATGTGCAGTCAACTTTGTTTTCTCTTTTTGCCCATCCATACATGACTCGTTTATAATTACATCCAGCTCATTGAAGAAGGACCATGTGAGGACTTGTGCGCAGATGGGCAACCTGCTAGCTTTAATGAATGGATTCTACCCGCAAAAGAGTTTGATGGCTTATGGGAAAGGTCTGTCTACAAGTTTGGTCTTGCCCTGGTTATAAAGCAGTAATGGCTCTGAAACAGTTTTATTCAATGTTCCTTCTTTTTCTTGTGTAGCCTAATATATGAATCTGGACTTAAGCAAAGGTTACTACGTTATGCTGCAAGTGCGTTGCTGTTTACCCAAAAGGGTGTAAATCCAAATCTCGTTTCATGGAATAGGTGAGGGCAGTTGGCATGTTTTTCAGTACTCACTATTCTCCTAACTTACCTAGCAATTCTTATCTATGTTTGCTTTTACTCTACAGCATGAAATTGTTACGCAAAACTTCAGATAACTTAGTTGCTTAAAAAGCTGAATTTGTTTCATGCCGTTTTGGCTGTTCCTTGTGTCTAAGTCTGATATTTTCTTTTCTTGTGCCTGATACCAACTATTTAGCTTGTTGAAAATTTCTGCAGGATTATTCTTCTGCACGGACCACCAGGGACCGGTAAAACATCTCTTTGCAAAGCGTTGGCTCAAAAGCTTTCAATTCGGTGCAACTCCAGGTCCTCTTCTGGACATATTGTTATTCTGTCAGATTAATATTACATTGACTGAAGTATCTCGATTATCTTTCTATTTTGATTTTGATTTGTGTTTTCTCCACCAGATATCCACATTGCCAATTGATTGAAGTCAATGCTCACTCTCTATTTAGTAAATGGTTCTCTGAAAGTGGCAAGCTGGTATGATACAAAATTGTCCTTTCTTTAGCTCTTGTCTTAAGTTTTCCCTTCAGCATGCATTTAACGCGGTAGATTTGTTCAATAAGCTGACTTTGTACTCATGGATTGTTGGACTTCAACAAGATTTGTAGTTCGTTCAACTTAAAGTAACCACTTCTAACTGCCACTTGAACTTCAAAAAATACCTATTCTACATTGCTGATTGATCATGGCCAGTGAAGTATTCAAAACTCAGTATACATTATTTGCTTTGCTAATCACTTTCAGTGAATTTATGACATGTCATAGTAAGCTGATTGGGATATTTTTCCATGTTTTAAGTAGTGATATCACAAACTTCACCAACAGTTTTATAGTGATTGGACCTATCTTAGAAGAAAAGCTATATTGGAATATTATGTTATCCTCACTATGTCTACTAATTCCATAATATAGGTTGCCAAGCTTTTCCAAAAAATCCAAGAGATGGTGGAGGAAGATGGCAATCTAGTATTTGTTTTGATCGGTGAGTTGTGATTTTATCGTAGAATTTCATGTTTGCAGGCTTATTTCTCCCGTCAGGCCTGAGATTATTTTGCCTGCAGATGAAGTTGAAAGTCTAGCTGCTGCTCGAAAAGCGGCTTTATCTGGCTCAGAACCTTCAGATTCTATCCGGGTAACCCAACTAGCTTCTAAATTTCATATGCACCTAGTATTTGCGAAGGAATTAATTCTTAATCCTAAAAGACCAAATCGTCCTATGTATTTTGCAGGTTGTGAATGCACTACTCACCCAAATGGACAAATTGAAATCTGCACCGAATGTGATCATCCTTACAACATCAAATATAACTGCTGCTATTGGTAAGCTGGTTGTCTTTTTTGATCTTGTCCCTAGCCTCATGCTTTTACTCTTTTATAAGTCCTTATTTTGATCGTGAAAATCTTCTTCAGCATTGAGTTCGCAATAGAATTATGACTTTGACTTGCTACTGATATTAATGCTTTGCCTTCTCAGTTCTCAGTTCTCAGTTCTCAGTCTCTCTGAAACTGTGTTCCTCATTCAGGTTTGTGAGATTTATAACACATCCATATTCTTGTTTCAGATGTTGCTTTTGTGGACAGAGCTGACATAAAAGCTTATGTTGGGCCTCCAACTCTTCATGTTCGTTATGAAATATTAAGGTCTTGTGTTGAGGAATTAATAAGTAAAGGGATCATCTCAAGTTTCCAGGTACCACAGAAGATCACCCTGTATAGGTTTTTAATTCCGTTCTTTCCACTGAAAGGGGAGCAGTTATATCTTACAAGCTCCATAAAATTTTGGTATAGGGCTGTGATGGACTCTCTATTCCAAGCTTTTCAAGTTTGAAAGAAAAGGCAAATGAAAGTGAGGTTCATGATACAAATACAATTCCGTGGTTCTGTAGACAGTTGATAGAAGCTGCAAAAGGGTGTGAGGTTGGTCTCTGGGAATATTTTTTATACTGATTGTAGAGCAGTGACAAAAATCTGAGAATACTCTGAAAAAACTCTTGTGTATGATTCGCATCAACTTCTTAATGTGCAGGGTTTAAGTGGAAGATCGCTGAGGAAACTTCCGTTTTTAGCGCACGCATCACTTGCAGATCCGTATAGCAATGATGCAAGTAATTTCTTGTGTACAATGATAGAGACAGCTAAGAGAGAGAAGTCTGAACTGCCTGAATGACCATTTTTGTTTTGTGTACTAATAACAATGTAGATGGTTTATTCAGAAAAGTGTTAAGTTGATTATTTGGTTATTCATCTGAAATAATTGCATCTGTTTCACCATTTACTTTAGCATAAGCTTCTAATAATTGAATCAAATAAACAAATTGTTGATTGGGGTCATCTCCTTCATGTCTAGGCGATATACGAATCTGTGATAACTAGTTTACAGGGAGAGTTGTCAGAAAACAAAGTCGTCTGATTTTTTATTTTTTTTTATTGTTAAATTAAGTAGTCTGATTTGTAATTTACTTTCATTCTTGTCAAAGTCAGCCGAAAATATAAAGGATAAAGATAAAACGAGACATGGAAATAAATAATAAAACAAAGAAAGAAAATAAAAGGGAAGAGACAAAGACAGACAGAGGTGAGTAGATTCGAACAAGAAACTTAAGGCTGACATTAAACCTGACACAATAAAAACTTGGATCCCCAAAAAGTCTCTTTATGGAGAGGAAGAAGAGAGATGAGGAAGAAACGAGAGGCTAAAGATGAAAAGGAAAAGGAAGAAGAGGAGAAGAAGAAGAGAGTGGAGCTGATGAAAGCAGCTGCACAGGCTTGGCTCAGCCACTCCCAAACCTCTAAACACACCGTTTTAGAGTTCGATGCGCAGAGAAAGCATGCTTTTGTCAAAGGTAAGGCTTCACGTTTCAAAATGGAGGCCTTGTCCACAAAGCATCACCCCTCGTTTTTGGATTGGGAATTCGGACAGTCGCTTTGGGATCCGTACGAGATTATTTCGGTCTCTAAGAAACTGGAACGCGAACTTACTTTAGAAGAACAAACCTTCTCTTCTTCAGATAATGCCCTCGAGAAGAAGAAGAAGAAGAATAGGGACAGCAGAAACAGTCTTAGAAGTTTGTTTAGTCGTTCTTCTTCAAAGAGATTTTAACAAACGCGTGATATTGTTACTTCCTTTAAAATTGTAAATTGTTCTAAACAAAAAGTTACTAGTGTGTCTTCCCTTGGTCTATTGGTTTGTGCTCACAGTTGTATCCCGCACCACCATCAATGGTTTTTATCAGCGGATTCAATAACGCCGATCATACTGACTAATTGCAGCTGACATGCCACTGACTCGACCAAGTAAAGTGATGAAACCAATAAAATAGAGCACAATAATCTGACAAAATGAACATAACCAAATGGAAATAAGTAGATAAACTCCACGTCTTATATTAAGTGCCTTTTAAATAGTAATATCATCCCAACACAAAGCAAAGGACCAACACCACCATGTGTGACGCAGCACGAAACCAAACTAGAGATCAGGTTTTATTTATGAAAACATTATAATTATTCCTGATAGATAGAGTAGTAGAGTTGCCAGACTTATTAAGCCTCCTTCTCCCCTGTGAGGAGATCCATCACCACGCCTTTGATGCTTCCATTGTTCTTCTTAAGCAGCCTCTTGTTCGTTACATCATCACAGAAGCCCTGCAATATCACAATATTTTCTCAGCATCCCAATCTGTTATCAACTCTTAAATTCACCAAGTGCAGACACACTTACCATTTCCTGAAGCTCCTCTAGGATAGGATCCCACTCGCTAACTCCACAAAGTGCATCAACAGACTGCTCCAAGTTGTACTCGTTGTCCCTCAAAATCTCCTTGTTCAGATCTATTTCCTTGAAACCCATTTCCTCGAGCTCCTTGAGCATGGTTATCTCAACGTCATTCTTCTCTAAATCATCTTGGAGAGGAACTGGGATGTCTTTTGTTGAAGAAGAACCACCAGACAAGACCTCAACAGCAGGCATTCTTGGGAACTCGACCATGTTAAATGACGACGATGAAGATGAAGATGAAGGAGAATGACTGCGAGGAATAGCAGGAAGAACTTCACCCATCAGGTTTTCTTTTTCCGGCACCTCTGGTTCACCAACTTTTCCCTCTATATCAGCAGCTTTCACTGTCCCAGGATTAACGTTGGAGCTGACAGGTTGAGCTGCCTCATAATTTATCATCCCTGTAAATTCACTTGAAAAGTTTTCATCAGGGGAGGGGGAGGCATTCAAGTTCAGTCCATGAAACTCATTCACAACAGAATCCTTCACGGATGCATCAACCTAACCATGCAAAAATAAAAGGGTATTAAAGACAACCACCAGCGTCAAAGAATTGAGGAAAGAAAGAGCACAGGAGTAGAGAGTACATGTATCAACACCCAAACACGTTGCCCAAACTTAGCACCATTAGAGGAAGCCATTCTCCAATAAGATATGTACCGACCAGGTAACTGTGGCGCAACAAAATCAACGTTGACGTCAAGTTCACTGTTGATAGGCACACCCTGTTCTGGAATCTGCCATGAGAGTAAAGAAAAATAATTAATTAGTAATATATACACAAACAGCTATTCTCACTTGGTGCAGAGAAGAAGCTTACTCAACAAGTGTAATTGAAACAACATAAATGATCTGTTAGTGGTAAGAATCAGGCAAAGAAAGAAGTGAGAACTAGGGAAATAGTTTCAAACCTGTAAATCAACAGACAACGTGTCACTGAATCTGTCTCCACCAATCCAGACAATCTGTGTGCCACGAGGCCACACCAACGAACCATTGTTCCTCATTTTCCAGATCTTAGTGAATGGAGCGGATGGAGCAACAACGGTTCCATCAGCTACATTCACATCAAGGACAAAGCGACTGTCTAGTTTAGGACGCGTACACCTGAAATGTAAACCTTCATTGGTTGGCCGTGGCACAGGGTGGTTCAGCCAAGGATTTGATACCTATTAAGAAAGGTAAGAATAAAACATAGCTATCAGTAAGAGACGCATAGAGTAAACAAAAAGAAAAGTGATCTTAAACATAGCAGAAGAGCAATACCGCAAGTTGTCTAAAAGGACGCAGGTGTTGAACTGATACAGGCTTATCCATTCTTGTGTAATCCCCATCATTACCCATCACCGAAAAGCAGATGTTGCAAAGATCATAGTCTTCTTTACTGTAAAATATTCACCAGAAAAAGAAATAAGGAAAATAAGGCCCAGTTATATCTACGCAAAATAAGCAACATATCCATAGTTTTCTAAAATTTCTACAGTAGTAAATAAGAGATGTACTTACACTTTCGACTTAAATCTAGGCCCAGTTATTGGAAGAACTCCACATCCATCACAGCGGATGCCCTTATGGAATACACCCAATGAGGTACAGTAATCACCATTGGTGTTCTTTTTGGAATGGCATACACGACGAGCATGCTTGTTGAAGTAATTTGGATATGGACATGAGTCATTCACGGTACTGCCACTAAAGGGACACTCATTGAAACTAGCACCCAGTCCAGGGGAGGATGGTACATGAGCAGAAGCCTTCGAATCAGCAAAGCCAGCGGGTTTCCTTCCAGTCTGGGTAGTCTCACCAGCGGAAGGAACATCCTTGCTCAGAGAAGGGCCTGAAGTTTCCTGAGGAACGGAGAGCTGGCCTAGCTTGGAGATGCAATCAAGCACCTCACCAACAACAGGACTAGAAGTTGCAGCTTTGGATGCAAGGTCCATGTATACCTTTGATATGGTATCACGCATGGGGTTAGGAACAGCCATCAGAACATCATTGAAACCCTTTTGGATTTTGGAAACCGGGTTTTGGCTGTGAGGAAAACCAGCAGGGGTGGAACTCCCACTAGTCTCAGGAGCAATAGGGTTTGATGGCACGCCAGTCTTAAACTGAACATTGATCTTTAAGAACTTAAGGCTCTGGTTCGTAACATCAAAGAGATCATTGTCATCAACGAGGGCCACCACATCCCCATCCTCATCAGAGTAAGTCAGAGAAAAGTCATCGGAGGAGAGGTTGAAGAGAGCAGAGATCTTAGCCTTAAGACCAGCAATGTCAAGATCAAGCTGTCCATTAGCTTTAACAGGCACCCTGAAACGCCTAAGCACATCTCCATAGCTCACCTGGATGGATGAAAAAAAAAAAAAAAAGCATCACTTGATTGAAAACAAAAACAAACTATGCAACAGAGGTAGTATATCAAAAACAAAAAAAAAATTAAAAAAAAAAAAAAAACTAGTCTAAGAAACAAAATAGAAAAGAAGAAAAACCGAATCAAGCCACCTTAATACTGATCCGAAAAGATAATAACATATAGTCTTAAAATCATTCATCGGGTTTATGATTAGGGAAGATACTAAGTCAGAAAAACGAAATTCGAAGTACACTTGCAACTATCAAGACAGAGAGAGATAGAGAGAGTTGATCAATAGACAAATTTAAAACGAAAAGATCGATTACAAGCAACAAATAAATATGGTAAACCTAGAACAAAGAAAAAAAACATGAAAATCGACACGATCAGTCGGAAAACACACAGAATCACCGACAATTACTGTTGTTACAAAACAGAGGAAACAAAAAAGAGAGAGAGAGAGAGAGAAAGAAAGGTTGGGAAACCTTGACGACGAGTGCAGTAGCGGTAGAGTCCATATCGGTAGAGAGATCAGCTGGAGAGAAGAGAACAAGGAAAGGAAGAGAGAAGAAGAAACCCTAATCGAAGAAGATTGAGAGTAATCTCGATCGAGAGAGAAAGGCGAAGAGGTTTTTAATCGGCTTAATAAGAGAGAAGCGTACCCGTAATCCGCTTATATCGTGACTCGTATCAAAACCAACCCTGGAATTTAGACCGTCGCCTTTATATATATAACACACGACGAACGATTTATTTATTTTTTAATAGGCCCTTTTTTATTTAATTTCTGACTTAGCCAACAAGATTTTGACTTTTCTTATTGGTTTCTCACTTCTGCCTTATCCAGTAAGACAAACCCCTAAACCACCCTCGCTAAGATTACTCTCTAAAAGCCATTATTATTAACAGTTGGAGATATTATGATGAATTTTCCCATATTTCTATTTTATTTTATTTTGTTTTTTTCCTCTAAAAATAGTTGACCCATTCATGGTTGACTTAATGTGCTTATGTCCAACATCTTTTGTGTTGTGGTAATGGAATGATTTCGTAAACTGATGGATGTTAAACTTGCAGGGCATTCACAATTAACATAGCAGAACATATTAGAATCCTTGTAACTAACATATAAAGAGACGTGAAGCGAACACGCAAACACTTAATTAACTTAAGCAAAGACCATGCAAGTTCATTGTATCATAGAAGCTTGAAAATATGATGGCAATTTGTGTACAAGGCATAAACCGTAGGCAAATCTGCAAACACGGGTGATTCTGAAGCTGTGGTGTTGAATGAGTTTTATAAGCTATCTTAACATGTCAACATATTACGATGATACATGAAGTGATTGGATAGAATTATCATAGAAGATGAAGCAGTGCTTGTACTATTCTGACGTCAATACAAGAAGTAGTACAAGAAGGTGAGTTGTGCGAATACTTGAAGTAGTACAGGAGGCAGTACAAGAAGCCGAGCTGTGTGACTACTTGAAGAGTTGGAGTACAGAAGTTTGGGACCGACTTGGACAAGCCAAGAGGCGGTTGCTGAGCTGGATGAACATCTTGAATAGTAAATTCAAGATGAGAACGAAAGGCAAATTTCCTTATCTATAAAGAACAAAGGAAATTTGTCAATTCCTATTTGGTGAAGGAATAGGAAAATTGTCAATCTTTAGGGTTGAACAATTGTTATAAATACCAAGAGGGCGCTTCATGAAGACTTGCGCGCCTCAGGGTATTCTCGAGAAGATGTACACAAGGTGTGTGGCGTCGCCCCATCAACAAGATAGAGAGATCTTTTGATGGTTTTGTAGAAGAGCTACACTAGTCGGAAAAGACAATTAGTGGTAGTCTTCTTTCATTGTAATTCTAGGAAAGAGTTGGTGGATTCCATATAGCAATTGTAGGTTGCGGACTTTTCTATTTAATAAAATCTGGACTAGGTCCCGGGGATGTAGGTTATCCGAACCCCGTTAACAAAGCTTGTGCCTTATTTACTTTATGCTCATACATACTCGAAGTAGATCATACACATAGTTGAATTAGTCACACATATGCACTTTCAATTGGTATCAGAGCGGGTTCTCGATAGAGATCTTTTCTTGTTTCGGGTGTTCGATCTTGGTTGTGTGACTAGCGGAGAATTAGAAGTAGTTGTGTATGTGTGAGAAAAGTCGAAGCAAAGGTGAATAAAGTGCACATGATCTACGGTCACAAATAAGAGTACGTCTTCTGCTATGAATAGTCGCCTAGAACTGGAAAGCATGGATCAAAATCTGGTTTGCTTCTGATTGTATATGAGCGTGAAGGAGAAGAAAGACGAAGAAGCAAAAGTTTACCTATTTACGATCGTATGTATCTGTTTGGACCTGATGATTTTACTTGGGCCTATTCTGCTCAGAATATTTGTCTCGGCCCAACAAATAGTGATTCGAGAAATCAACAGTAGCTACAGTTCTTGTCTGGGTTCTACATGGAACATCACCGGATTTGACTTGTGTGTACAAATTTCAGATTTGTGAGAAGAAAAGAGAAGAATTTGTGAATGGATTAAAGCTTCTTCTTCACAACCAGAAATTGAGTTTGAGAATCTTCATCTCTGTTGAGATTAAGTGAAAGATTTGCGAGTCGTTGAGCTCATAGGTGGAGATTATGGTAAAGAAAATCAGCTTTGATTTGTCATGTGTCGAAGCTATCTGATGGGCTTGTATACATTTGTGGTTCTATATTTCAAAGGGTTCTCGATTCAGGATCATCTCAAGTTATTTTTTATTATTGGCAATGTAATCAACAGAAAAGAGGTGATTTAAAGTAAGACATGGAGTGCTATCTCCTCTTGATTGGTCAATCGCAATTTGAAAGAAAGCAAGGTGTTTTACGTTGAAGAATCATTCAAGCATAAAGAATGAGATGATTGCTGAAGCACAATCAAAAGTGATTCCTGGAGAGACTAGAGAGCTCAAGCTTGTAGGAGATTCATAAAGAGTTCATAAGAGAGATGAAATTATGTGGGAAACAGTGTGATTGAAAATTGGCTAGAGTCACCGAAGCTGCAGAGTTATTGATCGGTCGCGTTTGGAAGAGGTACAGAAGAAGCGATATGACCGTGAGCTTGGGAGCGAAAGAAACTCAGCGAGAGAGACACACGTTTCTGTTACCATCTTGTCTACTTGGGATGTTAAGAGATCAGAGGAATGGATCAACATTTGACAACCTTTAGTTATGTGAAGTATTTTGCAGGAGGAGACACGAAGTGTTGTCAATTCGGATATGGAGAAGCCACGAAGAGGTAAGTGATTTGAGAGACTGCATCTTGATTGGTTGAAGTCTGATCTGGAAGTGTGTTGATGTATGTGTCGTGAATTGGAATTCTTGTCTTATTAAGACACACAATCAACAAGAGGGAGAAGAATGTTGAGCTTCATAGAAAAAGCTATATAAGAAGAAAACAAAGAACGAGTTCTTGTTCAAAAGCGAAGAGAAAGTGATCTTGTTCTGATGCAGCGACACATGGTTTTTGTCATGAGAAAGAAAGATGAGCCTATGGAATATGATTCTTAAAGATGTTGCTAGTATTTTGTGAAGAAATCAGAGAATGATGAAAAGAAGAAGATTTCGGGTTTCAAGCACAGTTTTCTTTCTTGGGTGCTACTTTCTTCTTCAGTTACTTTGGCTACAGACCTCGGATTTGAGCTACCAAAAGTGTTCTGGAAACTTGGAAATGAGATTTGTCCAATGATATAAAGATCACCTTCTGATTCCTTTCGGTTTGATGGGAAATCGCTCTAAAACTTGGTTGCTTGCAGGTTTGTATTGTTCAAGAGCTGTCTTGCGAATTTTATCATAACTTGCAAACCGTAAACCCAAATTGTGATCTGCTTCTTCCTGTGGCTTCAAATGATTGGTGTGGATGTTGTCACCAAATTTCATAATTTTCTGGGCTGTTTTGCTACCCCGTTTATGCTCTGCTTCAAGACTGCATCAAGACAAATGATGGAAAACTTCAGTATATGTCAATGGTGTCTCTGCAAACTCAAAGAATAAGATAATTTTTTCTCAAGATGGACTCTCTCAAGTGTGTGATTCATGTATTGGTTGACTAGCACACAATTATGAAAGGAGAGAAGATTTTGATTTTTGATCTGGGAAAGATCACAGAAATCTGATTTAAAGATAGCCTCTTCAAGAGAGAGTTTGGAGGTCTTAAAGTTATCTGATCATGCTGAAATTTTGTGTGAAGCTTTTTGCTATTACAGAATTGAGATTCAACGGTTGGATTGAAGTTTTGACGGATGAACTGCATTATATTCAAGCATCTTCAATCTGTTCCGGGATCTGTCCATCATATGTTTCAGATTTGACCAGTTCTAGTAGAGACATCAAATGAGCGACCAAGTGAACTTGGCATGAAATAAACATGTGCAGTGACATTCTAGACGTGTGAAGCTAGCTTCTGGTAGAAAGATACTGTATTTGGAGTCCGGGAACATAGTAGAATTGTGGCAGTTCAGAGTAGTAATTCAGAGACTTCTATAGCTATACTTTTACAAAGTGTTGTGTGGTGAATGTGAAGTTTCATGGATCTGCAGTCCTTGAATTATGAAGCTTGTGAAGTGTCAAGAAGAAGGATATGCCTAATCACAAAATGTATGAAGTCATTGTTTTTAAGAGAATCATGTAGCTGGCGGAGTTAGGCTTTCATCATCAAAGTAATAATGTGGTTTCGCCGTCTGAGTTTGACGTTTTTGCAGAGGTTGAGCTCTTTTGTGTTAGAAAAGAAAGCTAGCTTTATTAAAAACAGAAGTCTCAAGAACGCCATTGGGTTAGCTGGTGTGAGATAGCTGAAAGGAAAGATACTATGGTCTATTGTTGTGAAGGCCCAGCTTGGTCTTGTGTCGAGAGCATGTGTAGACGGTTTGATAGCTTGATGGAGTGCTTGTATAAAGCTTGTTTGGTTCAAATTTGCTGCAATGTTATTCATGATGAGACAGAATTTGTACACAAGCGTGTCAAGTCTTCTGACCAAGGAGAATGATTCAAAGAGATTTATAACCCTCAGTTTTATATGGAGTATATCGCAGATAGGTTCATTTGTACATGAGAACTACTGTTGATGACCAATAGCTGGGTGCATGAGCTAACTAAGAAGATTTAGTGAAGTTGTGAATATTGGCATGAGCTGCAGTTGGAGACAAAGACTAGATAAAATCATGCTTCTGAACAACACAACTTTTGGTAGTGAGTTTTTATAGGATCTGATTCTCTGGTCAAGATTAGTATATTTGCAGTTTGATGATACGCAAGAATCTGTGGTTTTTACATGGTATGAGCAGCCAAGCAAGGAAGAATGTGATGCAACTGTGTAGGGGGAGTGTTATACACTGTGTAGCAGCTCATATGGTCGATTCATGAATGTTGTTTTTGGTGTTCAAGAAAAGCATTTGGAGAGGAGAATTCTACGTAATGTTTCACTTTATTTGAGAAGTTGATTCTTGATTGGGATTAATCAAAGATGTGTTTGCTGCAATTACGAGGTTGATCGGAGTTGACAAAGAGCTCACTGTTTTAAAGTGAATGGCTGGAGAGGAGATAACTCATAAGGGTTAATGCATATTATACTCCATAGTTGTCGATGGAACTAGTTGCATTATGAGATTCAAGAAGCATGTGAAGTAACGAGTTGATATGAGATGGTTGTGGAGGCTATTTAGATGATTTGTTTGAGAAAAGATGGCTAGTTTTAGAGATGGAGAAGAATGTTATTTTCTATCAAAGTCATCTAAACTGAATGATTGAAAATTGTGAAGATACAAGCTTGTAGAAATCATCATGAAGTCTCAAGGTTCACAATGAAAGTTCTTGGTATAGCTTTTGATAGTGATAATGGTTGTCCAACAAGAGAAGATTCAGAGAATTATCACAGCTTGTGTCAACACATTTATTTGAATCTGCATCAGATGTCAAAAACCAGTTTTGAGGAATAGCTCATCTGTTTGGAGTTTTTAACCGAGTTATGTACTCAAGCAGGGGGAGATAAAGAGATAGTAGTTGGATCTTAGCAACTAAGAAAGTTTTCTGGTCTGGTCCGGTTGTGAGGAATTGCTTGAAGCTTGATTTAAAGAGTGCTTGAGTATCAAACTAAGTTAAAAAGGGGGAGAATGACGCCATGTTAGATCCTTGGAGATTGATATGTAACTTAAAGCATATAATGTGTGATTAGGTTCTAAAATGCTCTCATCAAGGGAGAGATGTGATGTGACTGGTTTGTAGAAGATGCATGAATTATAAAACGCAGTCATCAAGGGAGAGATTGAAGATGTTGTGTTGACTGGTTTTATAAGGCGCTTGGATTAAACAACTCAATCATCAAGGGAGAGATTGAAGATGTTGTGTTGACTGGTTTTGTAAGGCGCTTGGATTATAAAACTCAATCATCAAGGGAGAGATTGAAGCTGTGGTGTTGAATGAGTTTTATAAGCTATCTTAACATGTCAACATATTACGATGATACATGAAGTGATTGGATAGAATTATCATAGAAGATGAAACAGTGCTTGTACTAGTCTGACGTCAATACAGGAAGTAGTACAAGAAGGTGAGTTGTGCGAATACTTGAAGTAGTACAGGAGGCAGTACAAGAAGCCGAGCTGTGTGACTACTTGAAGAGTTGGAGTACAGAAGTTTGGGACCGACTTGGACAAGCCAAGAGGCGGTTGCTGAGCTGGATGAACATCTTGAATAGTAAATTCAAGATGAGAACGAAAGGCAAATTTCCTTATCTATAAAGAACAAAGGAAATTTGTCAATTCCTATTTGGTGAAGGAATAGGAAAATTGTCAATCTTTAGTGTTGAACAATTGTTATAAATACCAAGAGGGCGCTTCATGAAGACTTGCGCGCCTCAGGGTATTCTCGAGAAGATGCACACAAGGTGTGTGGCGTCGCCCCATCAACAAGATAGAGAGATCTTTTGATGGTTTTGTAGAAGAGCCACACTAGTCGGAAAAGACAATTAGTGGTAGTCTTCTTTCATTGTAATTCTAGGAAAGAGTTGGTGGATTCCATATAGCAATTGTAGGTTGCGGACTTTTCTAGTTAATGAAATCTGGACTAGGTCCCGGGGATGTAGGTTATCCGAACCCCGTTAACAAAGCTTGTGCCTTATTTACTTTATGCTCATACATACTCGAAGTAGATCATACACATAGTTGAATTAGTCACACTCACACATATGCACTTTCAGATTCCACTCAGCTTCTTCTGCGTTTGATTCATATGGAAGATACCGGAGGTTCTAAAACCTCTTCATAACCACTGGCGTTTGCATATTAATATTATCATGAATTTCCCATATTTTCTACGTATTTTTCTTTAAAAATAGTTGACCTTTTTTACTTTTAAAAAAAAAATATTATTAATACATTTTTTATAAAAAAAATTATGTTTCATCCAATAATGAAGAACATATTAAACTCTTTATTTTATTAAACCTCTCTCATTCATGTCGACCCCAATAAGAACAAACCTCTCAAGTCGCGTCTTCATTTATATGGGAATTTGAGAAACAATCTGAGAGTTAGAGGAATAAATTTGATCATTATACATGTTTTCTGGCAGACAGTAGTCTAGTGGTAGTAGAATTTGGGATGTATCATGCAGAAACGATCAGCGATACCAACAAGTTTGGGATGGCAGATTTTTATAATACATATACTTATGAGTCTCAACGTCAAACAAAAAAATTGGAATCAAAAGTGGGAGGTCATGTAAAGATGGTTCCCACTCTGATAGATAGATAGAACATAGGAAATTAAAAAGAAAAACCAGCAATAAAAGCAACGGCTTTAACGTAACAACGTCAGTCCAATTGCCGGCAAATGTAATACAAAAGGCTACAGTAAATATTCATATCCAAACAAGTGACTCAAATTGCATAATAAGCCCTCATGAGCAAAGTTTGTTATCTGCCTATGCCTCCTCGGATACGTCTCCTCTCAGTAATCCCCCAAGCTATATGTTGTGACTACGAAATAGCTTCCTCAATAGCCATATCTCAAAGTGCAATTATTATCCTCAGCATGGCAGTTCTTTCTACCTAATAACACAACAGGCCAATCTTAGTTTCTCTCACCTGTGAACCCATGACCAGTGTTTCTCCCACTAGTACCCCGTTGATGTTGGTATCCACCATGCCTTTGCTGTCCCTGTCCCTGTCCTTTCTCCCTGTATCTTGGACCTTCTGTCTGGGAACTATCTTTCGATTGTTCTCGATTACGTTCTCCATCATTTGTATGAGACCCAACAGGTTTGTATTCATAATGCACAGTAGGCTTCTGTCTATCTCTGTTTGAAGATGGCCTCTGATGGTGATGGTGCATATTCTCTTGCGCCGATAAACCCCAGCCTCCTTGTGATTCATGCCCTCTTCCAAACCGTCGACCCTGCCCTGTGTTCTTTTGGAACATACTATTCGGATTTTGCTCAACCTGGACCTCCTTATTGGTAGATCGGTTTTGCGACTGGGCTTGTGTATCAGCTGATTTCATTTTATGTTCTGTAGTAACCCCTTGATGCTCGTATCCAGCAACATCTTTTTTCTGAGATCCATAAGTTTTGTCCCTTGTACTTTCACGACCACCGAACTTACCTGTCCTATTAGCTGTATGCCACACATTATCTCCAGGGCCACGACTTTCTCTTGAAGCAACAGGAAAATCTGGTTGACTAAACCCATGGCCCGATTGCTGCATATGAGCTTTATTGGAATCCTTCTTCATGGCTTTTTTAGGGTCACCGTAGTTACTTCCTCCATCTTTGTTGCTTCTGGAAGCATGCTGCTTGCCATGGATGCCCATTCCTTGATCTTTTCCAACAGCACTTGCTTCCATTTCTTCGACAGCAGAATGATGTATTTCAGGAGGCATATACCAGCCATCGTTCCATCCATCATCATTACATGTGGTTTGATTCTTGGCAGCAATTTGTTCTGTTTGGTTGCTAGAGTGATAGTTCACTGTTCCTCGGATGGGCTGATTTGAGGTTACAGATTGTCCATCCTCCAAAGCTTTAGTAGGTGCTCCAGAACCTCTCTGGTGCCATGACCCTTGTTCTCTACCATGCTTTCCCTGCCTACCATTACCGTGTCTTGACTTTGAAGGAGACCCAGGTTTCCCTGTAGTTGAACCCGAAGGTTGGAGAATTCCTGTACCTTCACCTCCACTATTATCTTTATGGTTAACATTCTCTGGCATATCTGGAGCAGCAGTTACTAGATTTTTACTGACAATTGGCTCAGCCATTTCCTTTACTATGGGCTTCACGACATATCTTTCAATCTCCACTCTTTTGCTTTTAGAACTAGTCTGCCCTTGATGCTGACTCTTCGTAGAGGTGCCAAACTCAGGGACAGTGTTCTGACTCCCTACACCTGTGGAAACATCAGCTTTCTGCTGTGGATGTATTGGAGCCCACACAACAGCATTGTTGCCAGAAAGTTTTTCTGAAGGCTTATTTCCCAGTGAGTTTCTTTGAGTCCGACGCAAATGTTGAGATTTCCAGTAGTTTTTTGCTCTGTTCTGAGATTCTTCATTAGTGAAGGAACTGTTTTGCTCAGACGAATCACCAGACACTTTGATATCCACACATGGAACTGAAACAGACCCCAAATCCATTTCAGATGCCCTTTCCCTACCAGCCTCAATTGACTCATCTCCCGGTTTTGTTTCTTTTCCAACGGCAACTCTTGTCGTATTCATCGTTGATGTCTCCTCAGCCTTGTGCTTTTTCTTACCATTCCTGTTATTTTTTCTTTTCGTGAAAGTTGACTCAGTTGAAACAACACTTGACGTTGCTGGCATGTCTGAGTTATGGCATGAGACACCTTCATTAACCACCTCAGGAGATGGAACATCATCGAACACCTCTGTAGTGGCAACAGAGCTTGCTGCCATTTTTTTCTCAACAATAACATTTTGCTTCTGCTTATAACCCAAGCGCTTCTGTTTTAAGGCTGTGTCATCACGACCACGTGGAAGAGTATTCTGTTGGGAAGGACCCACATTACTTGTATATTCTGTTGAAGCCCTCGTATCGTGCATTGTGTTTTCTCCTGGTCCTCCAGTAGGTTCTAAGGAATTTGCAGCTGCAACAGTGTTCTTCACCTCGATCGATGAACGGAAATGAACATCACCTGAGTTTGATGGGAAACGTGCAGGTGAATGAGACCCAGGATCTTCTTGCATGTCAGATAGAGAAGCATTAGATGCAGCTTCCATGTTCTTGACTGAACCCTCCTCAGATACTTGGGAACGCCTATTCAACTCTTCTAGTTTTGCAAGAGCCTTAGCGCGTTGATCTCTTGCTCTTTCTTCCTCCTCTTTCTGCCTCTGTTGAGCACGCTGCCTGGCTAACTCTCTCATCGTAGAACGCTTTGAGAGAACATTGCAAACACTTAGTCAAACCAAAAAAGGATAACTACAAACAAGATCAACATAAAAGTATAAATAACAACGAGAATCATATGAACTAGTTTATACCTGGTTGTCATTTGGGTCTGCTGGTTTTCCAGACCCAGGCCTCCTAATGGAATCGGTATCTAAAGATTCATCTACGATAAGGGAGGAGCCTGACATATCAGTTGTCTTCTGCCAACCATCATTGCCTTCACTGTTTACTGTTCGTTTGTTTGGAGGATCTGCTCTGCCTTGAGTCTGTTGAGTATATCTCCTGTAGGTATTAAAATTAAAACTTTCCTGACATAAACGAGGGCTAACTGGCAGAAACGCTAATGGGAAAATGATAACTGACCTGGATATGGCAGTTCCACTCATTGCTGCAAGTTCAGCATTTTTGTTTGTGGCAGGATCACCTTGATTATAGTGTAATAAGTTCTTACTATCATTTGCATGACCAGTTCGAGGATTTCTTGCAGAAACTTTATTTACAGGGTTTCCAGAATTGAATGTACGTGGTTTGCTTTCCTGCTCATCTCTACTGACAACAGATGAATCATTTTGCCAACCATCATTCGTTCTAGTTTTTGCATTTAAGCCCTCGATTTTCTGAATCAAACTAGGATCTCCAGGGGCAGCAAGTTCTGCCTTAGCTGGTTGTACTTCACCACTTGCCTCATTTCTGTTTTCTCTCCTCTCGTTTCTTGAAGTTTGCAACTGTTGAGCTACCGTCTCTGCATTCGGGAGCCTATTTCCTAGAAATTCTTCTTGCTTTGCTTTATCTTCTCCCAACCTCCCATCTTGGTGCTTTAAAAGAACCTTGAAAGGCCTTTGTGGTTCTTGAGAATGTGATGGCTCGTTCCGATCCAAAGCCACTGAGCTTCCAGGAGTATCATATCCACCTTGCCCAGAATGATTATTAAAAGTATGAGGACCAGCAGGCCTACCTGCAAATGGCAAGTCTCTGTTACTGGGACTGCCATACCCCATGGGAGGACCATAGTAGCCTTCGTGTGGCGGTGGACCAACATAAAACCCAGGCCTAGTCTGCATCCTTGGGTGGACATAAGAGTCAAGCATTGGAGGTCTAAACATCATTTCATTATTAGCGTGATTACCCCTAGGACCAGCCCCACGTCCAGGAGCAGGTGGAACTTGCGTAGGATAAAATGGAAAAGGATCCATGTGAAAACCACCAGGACCCATTGGGGCACCACCAGGACCCATTGGGGCACCACCATATGGGTGGTTCCCTCTGTACCAGCCACCACCTTGATGATTATTTACTGGAGGACCACGCCAAGCATCATAATGATGAGGAAAATTAGCATTAGGATATGATTGTGAACCACGGGAGTCCAATTGCCCTTCCCCTCTGCAATGTCTAGGTGCATCTTCACTGTATGGCTGATCATCTCTTCTCCAGGAATTGGCTTCTCCAATACGTTCATTAGCTTCTGCAGATAAAAGACAACACAAGATATGGTCAGGTATAGTGCCCAAGAGAAAATTCACTAAAAGGATGTATGAAGAATAAAGCAGTAAGAAGAATTCACATGAAAATCTGAGAGGGTAACATGTCTCTCACGTAAGAGATGATTATAAACAGAGTAATGTATATCCCCTAAACAGAGGAAAAGAGGTTTAGAACCTTTCGTGCAATCTACATTTTGCTCTTCCACAGATCTTCCAGACGAAGATGAAGGACGACCGCGAGGTCCAGCATCTGCAAATTTGTAGTTTCTAAGAGCCATATCTACTTCATAAAAGCACAACAATTTCTATCTAGGTAATCCTAAAACCCTCAAGTAGCACATATTAGGAGGTCATCTAAGATCAAAAAAAAATTCAAACAAAGCAAGCCAGAAAAGCCCCTGTAAGTTTTGACTTTGTTGAATATCCGTGTAGATAAACTTCTCAACAGAATCGCATTCAGAAGTACCAATTTCAAACTGTGCTAAGAAGGCAAGGACAACGAGTATAAGATAGAATTGAGTACAAATTCATTTTATTTTTTCCTAGTTTACATGCTGATTGTATTATTTGAAATATGCACAGAGAACTATTCTTAAATAAAAGTACGGTTTGTTTTAAAAAAAAAAAAATAATACTGTAACACATGATTTATACACTAACTTTTACTGCTAATAGATAGTACCTTGTGGCCTTGTGCTCTTTTCAGAACACTCCTTTTCAGCACCAAGGGAAGGAAAATCTCCAGAAGACAAAGCAAACCCATCATTGTTTGATGGAGCAACTCCCTGTAGAACACGAATCTTGAAGAATGAGGGTAAATAATGCAATGGTAGATAGACTGTAAATTGTACACAACTATTCTAGCAAAATAAACTTGAAGATTGAAGCTTGCCAAATATTAATGAATATCCTTCCATCAAAATCAATTTGCCCAACCAGAATTGCAGACTTATTGGAGAACATGTGCCACTCAGTTGCCAAATTAATTTACACACTACAAAGCATTTCTCTAAGACAAACAATAAGTTCCCTATAACTTGACAAAGCATCCTCATCTTGTTCCCATTGCAAACACGTATGTATATCCAGCAATTAAACACGAATGTATAGCATGGAACTCAACAGATGTAAGGATACAGAAAAGGATAAAAGAGATGGTTAACAGAGTCACAATAAATAATAAAGAGTAGAAACTAAATTTACAAGAACCATACCAACTTCTCTCCTGGTACATGTTGACCCCATGTTGCAGAAGTCTCTGACACAGGTTCAGCAAATCGGGATAACTGGGAACTTCCTGGTCTTGTGTCTGCACTATGTGGACGCTGTAGTGCAACTGATGCCTGATTAGATGGAAACACCCCAGATGCTGATGAAGGCCGAGAGTTTGAATCCCATGCAACAGAAGAAGAAGAGTCATGTGCTTTGTTACTATCAGCAGTTGAAGGCCGAGTTCCACTTCCACCAGAAGAAGGTCGATTACTGAGGTGGCTTGGTGAACCAGGGCCACTTTCAGTTCGTGGTGACAATGATGATGTCCCCCAAGCATTCAGTGATGATTTACTCCCCCAGCTAAGGGTTCCCCTACAATAGATGTCCAGAATACAATTAAACAAACTAACATTTAAGGATGAGGAAAAAATGAGAGAAATAGCATCTCACACAGCTGCAAACTTACTTTGGAACAATTTCCACATTAGGGTCAAGGCCTTGGTTCTCCAACCTTAAATTCAGAAGAGAATCGATCAGAGAACGAGATTATATAAACAGATATTAAGATCAAATATGATAATCCGCTCATCAAATACCTTTGGCTTGGTAAGTTAATTGGTTTTGGAACAGCAACCTTTCCCAATATTGTCATGCCACTTCTTCTTGTAGTACCCCATCTGCTAATATCCGGGAGGTTTAATTTCTCATCAAAGCAATGATCCAAAACCACCGCAGAGTATAAAAGAAAATGCGCAAAAGTATAAATGATTTTTCTTTTGCGTAGTAGCTTTAATAAAAAGCGACCAGCTCTTATAATATTTTTCTATACACTTGTGGAAAGAACACTCTTCTGCTAATCTAAATGATGATGTTGCAAATCAAAAATCATGTTGGATAATTTATTCTACACTTTTAAGGCAAGTGATATGAAATAAAACTTATTCTTCATCCACACATGGCGAATGTCTATCATGCAAGCGAGCTATTTCAAAGAAAGAAAACCAAACACTGAGTTTCCTTAGGCACATATAGTGATTCTATATTTTAACAGCAGTTTGAATATGCAGCACACTGAAAACAAGTAACTGAATTTAAGAGAAGGCCACAGCAAAAGAAAATCATGCAAACATCGTGAAAAGAGGCCAAAATGTAACCCAGTATTGAAACATAGAAAAGTTCATGTTAAAAAATATTTTGGTAGAACAGAAACCTTCGATCTCCTGCTGTGCTCGAGGTCATTTATAAAGCGGCTACAAGACCCAATTACACCTCTTGCAACCTGTAAGACACATGCAGAATCAGATTCACAAATGAAATCTCAAACTTGAACTCAAAACCGACACTGAAGAACAATTGCTATAACAAAGAAATTGACTTGACCCGTTGGCACCTCTCGGTGTTGATTAGAAGTTACAAGCACCGTTAATGGAAGAAAGCAAAAAGAAAAAGAAAAAAACGATGAAGAAATTCACAAAGCTAAATGCAGAGATAACAGAACTCGGACTATGAACCACAATTGAGAAAATATATCAGTTGCTACTGTGAAATGTGTTGCAGAATAGAATCAGACTACCTAAACAAGTTCCCCAACATGAAATTGAAAGTCTAATTATCATCAACTTGAACATTTAATTCCAAAAATCAATACTTTCTAAAATTTACCATCATGAACACCAATCAATTGCCAGAAACAGACAAGGTTTCGACAATCAAACTGCTACAGAAACCTAACAATATCAAAGATATCATCTAACTAACGAAATCAAAAGTCATTCCATGTAAGATAACCGCATTACTAAACTAACGTATACCCAAAATGTTGAAATATCTGCAGCATCCCATCAATCAACGAGCTTTAAAACAAACAAATGCATCAAACAATGTCAATTCAATTAGGCTCTACAAAAAGGACCCAACTTGAAGACACTATCAAAGTCGATAATTCTATAAACAACTCATCACTAGACGATTCCTCTGGGAAAACAAAAAAAAGGGAAGCGAGGGATGTAGAGAAGAAATAACTGACCAAGGAGGATGATAGAGAAGAAAAAAAACTCCTTTGATGAATGGAGAGGAGGTCCCGTCCTGGCAAACCCTAGATATTGTGAGAATCCAACAAAGGGGATGCAGATCGGATGCAGAGATGGGTGGTGATGGAAACGAAGAAGGGGAAGGTGGAGGAGGAAACAAAGGATCTGTAGGGGGAAAAACAACTGATGAAAGCTTTACGTTCAACGGATTGGTTGAAAGACGAGAAAGCGTCGTAGTTCAGGGCTGCACGGTTTTACTCAGCTTTTTCCCTTCTTTCTTTTTTTTTTTTTTTTTGTTGTTTGGGTTCTCTCTCTCTTAAGTTTTATTTTCTCTTCTTCCTGTAATTTGTAAACGAAATTAGTGACCATTGCATAAAAAAGGTAAAATAGAGAATCAACTCTCCTGCAAAAAAAAAAAAAAAAAAAAAGGTTTACACCTATCTCAACCAAAACAAATAAATACTGATCGATTAGGATATGCATCATTTACATATTTTTAGTTTTTACCTAACTATTATAAAAGATTAAGACCAAATATATATATCACAAATCTAACTTTTTGCATTTTTCCTAATTTTCACACATAACTCTTTCCATTTGATTTTTTCTTTTCTTTTCTCATAGTAAATTTTATTTTTTAATAGTAAAATTACACGCGTCAACGGAAAACTGAAATATCTCTGCAAACTGAAAAGGCAACATATAGTCTTTTAAATTAAAAAAAACAATGTGTAGATATCATTGAAAAATGAAAATTGATCAGTTTTTAAAATAAAAAGTTTGACCTTATAAATTATTATCTTACCAAAAAAAAGGAGTATTAATAAGAGAACTGCCACAATTACATCAATTTGGAAATTTTTGGATGTGTCTTCTTGGTAATGTCAAGTTTTGGATTAGTCTATCAATACTTCTGAAGACGGTCTGGACTTGGTATGACTTGTGTACCGTGTTTGTTTCTCTGTTTCCAAATGCCATAGACAATGGGCCTGATCAGATCACATACAGCTTACAAATATATAACCATGTTTAATTATACACGAATATCATAACGTAAAGGTGAGTTGCCAGTGAGGAGGAAATTGATTATGTGACAAGTTCACCTATTCATTACCAACAACTTGTTGCAAATGGCGGTCTGCTCAATGTCGATAAGCCAATGTGTGCAACAAACTTTTTGGTAGTTTTTTTTGTTTGTTTCATTGTTTTACCGACCTCTATACCGTTCCTTTGTATAGTATACTCATTACAAGAGTGAAGCACAAGTCCATAGTTTTGTAATGGAGGGAGGTTGTGTTTGGTGCTCGATTGCTCGGGAATGATTTAAGCGGATCTAAGCTTAGAGCTAGCCAAATCTTTTTCATACGTCAACTATATAAACGTGTCACTTCTCTACAGTCTCTAATATCTCTTCTTTGACATTTTACAGAATTCGGAAATATTCCAAAAAAAAAAATGCTGAAGGAGTTTTTCTCTTCTCTATAAAAAATTTGTTGGTGGATAAAACTCTTGGGTCCAATCCATATTTGATAAACCAACCCTTGGGAAAATTGGGCCGTGACAATTTGTAAACAAAACTGGTCCATGAACCAAAATATGTTTTTTTTTTTGTGAACCGAACCAAAATATTTTTTTTTTTTTTGGTCCATGAACCAAATATGTTATTTCGACAATTTTCTCTTTTTTTGCAAAATACATATTTTTATTTTCTTTTTGTTTGCGGAAATACATATTCTTATTGTCTATTTGTTTATTTCCACAATTAACACCCCAAAATATGTTATTACGACAATTCACCCTAGGCTCATTGAATTGTGTTGTTCGAAATTGTCAAGATTTCCTAAACATTCTACCACGATAACAAAATTACATAGTCAATGAGCCTGCTAGCTAAACTTTCTTTAGCATATAGCTAATATAATTCAAGAAAAAATAGTGAGTTAGACGTCAAAACAAAGAAGTGACGTAAATCTACAAAATATTACACATAAAGCAAAAACCAGTCTTGTAAGTAAACAGAGATCCTGTATAAATCCAGTGTCTCACTCGGTTCATGTACTGTCGTTTCCAAGGTCTGCCATTGTGACATGCAAAAAAGTTGAAACTCTTCACGCCAAAGCCAAAAACAAAATCTTTTCTTTTTATTTTTCTCATAATGGGAAAAAACCTTTTCTCGCGGAGAGAAACAAACAAAGAGCTTTCACCTAATTACAAATTCTTCTTTTTCAGCTTATATATAAATCTTTTTTTTCTCCAGTGACCCCTTCATTGTGGCCAAGTTTAGAACTTTGGATCCTCTGTTTTACAATTTGACAGGTACTTTTGTCTTCTGGCTCTCATATTTTGGTAGGTTGTCTTGGTTTTTAGATTTGTCTGCGAATATAAAGTGGGTTTTAATTCTTTCTTTTGTTTAAATAAATCTTGTACGTACGTAATTGAGCAAAGTATCAGTTATAATCTAATTAGGTTCATAATTCAATATAAACACACACTTTATCTCTTGAGATTCTTGAAGGGTTATTTTAATCTCTTTTCAAGACTCATAACTTCGAATTTATCAGCCATAAAGGTTCACTCTCGTTGGACAGCACTTGCTTACTTTGATTCTATAAGTTTCATTTTTTTTTATAAAGAGGTCTTTTTCCAGCTATCCCACTCTGCTCTTCTTCTTTTGAGCATTAGCGTTTTTGCTTCCTGGTTTTGTGTTTTTAGTTTGGAGACAAGATGGGACAGATTCCGAGGTTTCTTTCTTGGAGGAATATGTTGGTCCTCTCATTGGCCGTGAACTTCAGCTTGATTCTAAAGATCTTGAAGGGTGACAAAGAGCGAGGAGATTCTTGGCCGGATAGAACGGCGTATTCTAGCATATGGCCTGTGATATCCACCACGGCTTCAGGATCTTCTTTGTTGTCTTCAGCATCTTGCAATTATACCAAGATCGAAGAAGACGACGACAGAATCATCAATCTCAGACTGTAAGTTTTTTACTTACTCTTTTTTCATGTTCTCGATTACAATCTAGTTCTCTGAAGATAGTTATGTTCCTTGTCACCATGGTGGGAAATTTGATTGGTTGTTTAATCTTCCTTGGTGTTTTGAGAATAGTAAATGTGTATTAATGGCGTATCCTCCAGAATCTGTAGACAAAATATCTTCCTTATCCCATACTTGATTGCTTTGAAAGTCATTGATGCTAATAGCAAGGAATCTGAGATTATCCTTTAAGCACGCAAGTGAAAGCTCCATGCTTTAATGCCATAATTACCATTCTATATTAAATGCAAACTTCAAAAAAGGGGTAAAAATGGTCAACCCTAAGGTTATGATTCTTTCTAAGTTTCTACGGATGGTTTGTTCATTGACTTGCCAATATTTTCAAGTAAGTATGTCTTAGTTCTGCGTATGCTTGTGTTCCTTAACGTACGCCGGTAGTTTGAATATTTTGCTTCTGTTATTTACTTTGTTATGATGAGTGACTCGTCAAACAAAAAAAAAAAAAAAAAAATCTTTGCAAATTGATCATGGTGGTCCATTTGTTTTCTTTATAAGGGAATTAAGATAAATTTGGTCATAATGTCAACTGTTAAAAAGTATTAAAATTAAATTTGGACATGGGCCATTCTTCTTGTTGATGAGAAAGTAAAGAAGAGAGTGACTTCTTTTTTTAATACGGATTAGTTATGTGGTATGGTGTGAGAGAAAGGAGGTTGATGAGTGTGTGATGTTCCTTTTTTTGGATGCCCTCTCAATTAGTTTAGTTAGTGACAGCCAATGGAGTTTGAAAATTTGGGTTTAGGAGACACTTGGTATATCAGAATATGTATCATACTCCTTTTGATTCTTTCCCAATTCCATTGTCAAGAAAAAACTTATAAATAGACAAAAGAGAAAGGGAAAAAAAAAAAAAAAGTAAAGAGAGACCCACATTTTGGTGGACATGATTCTCATACATAAATATTTTCATGTCCATTGAGAGAATCTAAAGGACTAGTATGGTGATCTAGTACGTAACTGGACCATGTTATTCACTGTTATTAGAAATAAGGAGGTGATGTTTTATGTTCTCCATTAGAGAAAAGGACCCATGAATAGTCCTTTTACCTATATTCGCAGCTTTCTTTGATTTTAAGAGCAATTCTTGTCAGACTGTACGTAGATACATATACATAATATATGCTAACGTTGATGTGGTATCTCTTACGCAGTGGTGATCCAACGGTGTATGAGAGATACTGGCAGGAAATGGGAGAGGTGACAACTTTGGTGATACCTGGATGGCAATCTCTCAGCTATTTTTCAGATCACAACAACCTTTGTTGGTTTCTTGAACCAGAGCTTGGCAAAGAGATTGTGAGGGTGCATAAGGTTGTTGGGAATGCTGTAACTCAAGACCGCTTCATTGTTGTTGGCACTGGCTCAACACAGTTGTATCAGGCTGCTCTCTATGCTCTCTCCCCGCATGATGACTCTGGTCCCATTAACGTCGTCTCAGCTGCACCTTATTATTGTGTGAGTCACATAACGTGCTTTCGTCTCAAAATATACATGTATGTCTTGTTAGAGGCGCCATTTTGCTGGATACTAGCTTTCTTGGGTTATGTTAGCAGACACATATCAATCTAACATGTATAAGCGGTTTTGGTTGCAGTCATACCCGTTAATTACTGACTGCCTCAAATCGTGTTTATATCGGTGGGGTGGAGATGCAAAGGCATACAAGGAAGAAGGTCCATACATTGAACTTGTTACATCTCCAAACAACCCTGATGGGCTCTTGAGAGAACCGGTAGTAAACAGTAGTAAAGGTATACTGATCCATGATTTGGCTTACTACTGGCCACAATATACGCCGATAACATCAGCAGCTGATCACGACGTCATGCTCTTCACTGCTTCAAAGAGCACTGGCCATGCAGGGATGCGTATTGGGTAAGTACATACGTTGTTGTCACATTTTGCGTCATGGGAACAAGAAAAGATAACAACTCACTTAAACGTTAAATTCTTGTTTCATTTTGCAGATGGGCTTTGGTGAAAGACAGAGAGACAGCTAGGAAAATGACAGAGTACATTGAACTCAACACGATTGGGGTTTCAAAGGACTCGCAGCTTAGAGTAGCCAAGGTTCTAAAGGTTGTGTCAGATAGCTGTGGGAATGAAACGGCCAAATCCTTCTTTGACCACAGTTATGATGCTATGTATGAGAGGTGGAAGCTATTGAAACAAGCAGCGAAGAACACTAAACGTTTCACCGTTCCTGATTTCTCCGCTCAACACTGCAGTTTCTTTGGCAAGGTCTTTGAGTCACAACCAGGTACACATAAAGAAAAAAAATATGAAACAATGATAATCTGCTATAAGTATACTACGTAAATAATTGTAATGTACATAGAAGCATTTTAATTTTTCTTAATTCATTTGGTTTGGTGTATTATTGTAGCGTTTGCATGGTTTAAATGTGAAGAAGGGATTGTGGATTGTGAGAAGTTTCTAAGAGAGGAGAAGAAGATTTTAACGAAAAGTGGGAAGCACTTCGGAGATGACCAAAGTTTTGTGAGGATAAGCATGTTGGATAGAGATAGTAACTTTAATATTTTCCTTCGCAGGGTTTCAGCTTCCTCTAATTCAACTTTGTAATTAAGTGCATGAAATGATGATCTTTGTCATAACTAATGTTGCAACAAGTGTTTTATTGGAAATCTGAATTATGTGAAGGTCAAAGACCAATCCCGTCTCCCGATGAATGAACGAACATTCAAGTGTGCCGGCATGTTGGTCTGAAAAGTCTTGGTTGTAAGGATCAGAATATCAGATATATCCAACATTTAATGGATGTATAGTTTTTTTTTTTTTTTTTTCTTTTTTCAGATTTTAACTCCAACCTTAGGTGATCCCTCAGAGTCATATCGACAATGGTGCAGGAGTATCATTGTCCAAACCTGTCCATTTTACATTTGACTCAGCTTTTCCACCGCACCAATTTTGGGAATTTTATTGAGACTGCCATTTTGGAAACTCGAATTTGTCAAACTGCCATTAATGAAAGCTTCTTTCAAAACGTGCCACAAAGAGAGAAACATGGACGATTTTGCCCTCGAAGAAAAAGACAAAAGAAAATGATAGACAAAATCAAAAAAAAAAAAAAAAGAGATCTCGTCTACAAGATCTGGTCCACTACATCTGATCTGCCATAACTAGTCGACAAAATTGGTTCGCCGAATATTGTCCATCCACAGAAAATGTATTGTCTATAGTGTAATAACTGCATCACTTGTTTGATCGTCTGCCTGGTCCGCCGAATCAGGTCAACAGAACTGGTCCGCCGGTTTTTATCACTTAGAACAAGTCTATCATAACTAGCTTTTGTCCGCCGGAAAATGATACACCGGATCTGGTTTGCCACAACTAGTCTATCGTAACTGGTCTATCTGGTCCGCCGAATCTGCTATGCCGGAGCTGGTTAAAGTTCGTAGGAACTGACTATCGTCCGTCTGAACTCGTCTAACAGATCTGGTCTATCGGAACTCGTCTTTCTGGGTTGGTCGAAACTGGTCCGCCGAATATGGTCTGCTTGAATTGGTTATAGTTCATTAAAACTGACTGTGGTCTGCCAGAACTCGTCCGCTGGAGTTATGGTTTGTCGGAACTGGTCTGTCGAATCTTGTCTGCCGAATCTGGACCAGAATTGCTATGGTCCGCCGGATCTGGTCTGTCGAATATGGTCCGTCGGATCTGGTCTGTCGATCTGGTCCGCCAGAGTTCGTCCGTCGGATCTGGTCCGTTGAAATTGTTTGTTGTTGGAAGATGAAGAAGAAGATGAAGAAGAGAAAGAGATAATGAAAAAAAATGAACAGTCACAACACAAAACAGCCAATTCATCCAGGGGTACATCAGTCTTTATACAGAGCTCTTGTGGCAGGCGGGAGAAGAAGTTTTTCGAAGTGGCATTTCTTACAAGTTTTATCACTGTTCATGGCACTCTTTACAATTTTCTCAATTTTAGGGATATCATGCACGCCAACTTTTGTTTTTTTTGTTTTGTTTTCTGCATGATTCAGAAGGATAATTCCATCATTTCTATTTCTTCAAAAATATTAACAAATTTAACCAAAAAAATTTTTAAAAGGACAAAACACCAACAACCCATCAAAATTATAAAAATTGGACGTGAAAAATACTCAAAATAGAACCGTACGTCTTGTCACCATTCAAGCTCTAAAAGATTTAATTACTTTTCATGGTTGTAAAAAGTTAAACTGAGCGTCGTCATCTAACAAATTATAAAATAAACTTCTTTAAACAAAAACAAGATATAGTCACGATTTGTATATATGGATGAGGAAGATTAGAGTTAAGAGGTGAGGTGATGAGAGATCACACAGAACCACACAAACCATTCACGTGATGTTACCTGCAAAATTCATCATCAACTTTCTCCTGACTACGCCACATCACATTTGTTTTGTGGTACTATTCCATCGTCAAACGCCCGTTCGTCTTTGTCTTTTTCCACAAATCTACTCTTCCTTTCTTTATCAACTTGATCGTCTACATAACTATACTTGTCTTTTTTTCCCTATTCACAAATTTGTCTTTGTCTTGCTGCGACAAGTAAATATTTATTTTGATACCAAATCGATCCGAATCTCGGTCTGAGTACCATTTATACCCATTCTTGAATTTTTATAGCATTTTTGTAACCTATTCATCCTTATCATGTTAGTTCTTTTGTTTAACGTAAATCTAAATATCATTGACACCAGTTCTTATAAGGAAGCCAAGCAACTTATACCTTTTTTTTTGTAATTTTGTACTTGTTGATGAGTGATAGTTAGAGAGATGAAGAAAACATGATTAAGAGTTGGATCAAATGATAAGATGTAAATATGTCTTGCATAAAACGTGTTTGAATTCCATTTTAAGGATAAAATGATGCTTCAGGTCTTGAATAAGTTTGTTTCAACTTGCGACATGATCTCTTTAAACTCATAAAGAAAACAAGATTAGACCCGTTGGTCCACAATTACTTTTTTGGCTCACAGCAATATTCCTACATATAACACTGAAAGATTTTATGACAGTATAGCAGTAGAAAAAAATTACATATAACAGTAATGCAAACTAAATCCAAAAATTAATTACATTTCAAATCATACAAATTATGTATTAGAAATTTTTACGTAGCCGGACTAAATTACTTGGGTGGATTCACCGGTCAAATTAATGGTCAGATGGTTAAACAATATTGGTTTAATAAGGAAATGGTTGGATTATTACACATGTGTTCAGATTATGATCGATCTCTACGTCCCAATGCTTTTGCCATTTTGCTGTGATCAGTAAGTTCCCAAAGACACTTTTGCTTTCACCTCAGTTTCCACTTTGATCCTCTTTTTACGGTAAAGTCACAAATAGTCAAACTTACCTTGAACAAAACCCTAAGCGCCAGTTTAATCACTAATCGATCCACTTAATTATATGATACATTAGACCACAAACTTTATATTTTATTCTATTAAACTGTACATTTCATCTAAACATCAAAAGGGTATGGCGTGTGAGTGTCTTTTTGGATGAAACTATACACATGTATACTGTATAAAAATTATGTTAAAACAAACAAACAAAAAAACGTAAAAAAAAAAAGTTGAGGCTCTCTTTTATTAAGCGGCAGGGATTGAGAATTGTTGACCACACTCTCATCATCTCTCTCTCTTTCTTATCTTCACTGTTTCATCTTTTCATTCGGATTAAATTTATATTTTCTGTCATAAAATTTATACTCTTAACTCTCATGAATTATTGGTCTCTAGAATAGTTTATAAGTAACAATCTAATTTGTACGGATGTCTCTTGTGATGTCGAAGAATTAAGAAATAAAGAAAGAGCTAGGGAACATGGATTTTGAGGAGCAAGAAGAAGATATGGAGATGTCCGGTGTTAATCCCCCCGGTGGTTACGACTCTCTGAGCGGCGAGGGAGCTACATCTAGCGGCGGAGGAGGAGGAGGAAGGAATAAAGGCGTTGGAGGGAAGATGAGGTATAGAGAGTGCTTGAAGAACCATGCCGTTAACATAGGCGGCCACGCCGTGGACGGATGCTGCGAGTTCATGCCTTCCGGTGAAGATGGTACACTCGACGCTCTCAAGTGTGCAGCTTGTGGCTGCCACCGCAACTTCCACCGAAAGGAAACTGAAATCGTCGGCGGTAGGGGCCAGAGAGTTCCCACGTACTACAACCGCCCGCCGCAGCCCCATCCACCGCCTGGATATCTTCATCTAACATCTCCCACGGCGGCAGGGCAGCCTTATAGGCCACCCATGGCGTCGGCGGACGAGGAGGATACATCGAATCCGAGCAGCAGCGGCGGGAACACGGCGAAGAGGTTCAGAACGAAGTTCACGGCGGAGCAGAAGGAGAAGATGTTAGCCTTTGCGGAGAGGTTGGGGTGGCGAATTCAGAAGCACGATGACGTGGCTGTTGAGCAGTTCTGTGCGGAGACTGGTGTTAGGAGACAAGTGCTTAAAATCTGGATGCATAACAACAAGAACTCTCTTGGTAAGAAACCCTAATTTTGCTCAGACATGATTTCAAACACTAGAAGATCATGATTGTTTCGTTTTTGGTATGACTCTTTCTGTAACTACTTTTAATTAGTAGTTATATGTTTTTCTTTTTTTTTCTGGACATATATAGTTTCTTCTTTTAGTTAATAACCGCATCTCGTAGTTTGGGACAACTTAGGACACATTGTGATTAATTAACTATTAATCATCATCATTAACGTTGGATCGAATGGTTAATTACTTGATTTCATAAATAATGTACACTGATGATTGTAATTGAGTAATGGACAAAACTAAAAAAAGTACGGTACGGTGCTTCTAGAGTTGTAGACCAATGAGTTTCAACTTTCAACCCGTATGGTACATATTGTTGGCTAAGAAATAAAATGATAAGTTGAGATTAGAGCTAGCTAGTAATCAGCTATATATAGTACTTAGCAATTAGCCAGTTCTAAGTTTTACGTAGATATTAGCTTACTAAATATATATAGGGCGGTTAAAATGAACTAAGAGAATAAATTCTGGTTGAGCATGCATGTGCAACAATGAGAAGCCATTGACGTTTTGCTCTAATAGCTAGCTAGGTGTCTAAGCATAACGTGCCATTGCGAGGAACTCCCACTCCTAAATTGAATGAACAAACCAAAAATACATGATGTTCAAATAGGTAAAGATATGTGTTATGTGTTTAAATAACATGTTATTTGCTTATTACGCATGTGGCGATATCCATTTATAGCATGCTACAATATATTGAAAATGTGACTAGTTTAAGAATCAATTATACCATAATCAACCAATAATATTTATTTGAACGTGTAAACATATATGTTGATTATGCTCATAATAACTATATATAAATAGAGTACCGTATATTTATCTGACGAACTGGCGCAAATATACACATAATAAGGCATTTAATTTATTAATACGTGAATAATCAATAAAACAGATAGTAGTTAATTAAGAGCATTTTTTGTCCGTTTAAGACATGTTGCTAGGGGTCTCATTTGACCTATTTTTATAGTTTTTTCCTTTTCCCCATTTATGTAACATATCCTGAATTAGTTCATGTAATAAGTCTTGAACCGTAAAATCCTCATTTTTTAATTTTAGTTTAAAGACACTTTATCTCATGTGTGAACATTAATTACCTTTTAAAGCTAGCCAAGTGAAACCGAAAAGCTTGAAATAATTAAACCAAATGATTCCCGATGATGGAGATAATGATGATGATGATGATGATGATGATATAGAGATATCCATCTCGATGAAGAAAATGACGAATTCACATTTGTCACCTTCCTCTCGCTATCTTACCAAAACCCACCGCTGCATTAACTCCCTCTCTCTCTCTCTTTAATCTTTAATATACGCTTGCTAGCTATGTCTATGTGTTGAGCTTGCTTCGAAACTTCTCCACTCTTTTTTAATTTGTCTCTTTCACATCACAACCCAATTCATTTAATTGCCGTAACGCTTGATGTAAACATACCAATTGTTACTCTTTGGGATTCTTTTTTACTTTTAATTTATTTTCCAAGAATTCAAGGAAATTTGTTTAGATATGACCACCTTAATTACCTTATATCACAATTTTCTCATTACAACATTCTATACTACAAACTCCTTTGATAACACATTATAAACAAACTAATTAACAAGTTGACATGTCGTTTTTTTGAAATGTATAATAAAACTCTCGTCATCTCAAATAATATAAGTCATAAGTTATGCATGAACATTAGATCCGTCAGCATTTTGCTCCTACCATCTCACCGAACATATTGTGTTTTTTTTGTTTATCGATAGAAATTATTTGGATCTTTTCAGCTAATAATAACGTCTCTTTTAATATAATATATACTATTTTGGCCAAAAAGGTTTTGAAATGACACTTATACTAATTTGGTTGGCATTATGCGACAAGAGTCGTGTGGCCCTAGCTCCCTATACAATGCAACCTTTCAATTTTGTTGTACCCACCAATTTCCTTGTACCATTGCTGCAGAGATTTGCAGTCCATCAAGTTGTTGGCCTCATCACTAGATCTAGATCATTATTCCATTACCATCTTATACTGAGACAGTCTCTGTATTAAGGCTTTATATTTACTTTGCATGCTATGACTATAAATTCATTAATCAATTTGCTAATAGTGAATTAAGAAAATAAACGTTCGCATGTCTTGAAGGTGTGAATATTAACGTTCACATGTCTTGATGGTGTGAATATTAATTTAATAATATGAAATTTCAAAAAGCTATTAAAAAATACTCCTAAAAATATAATTAATTGTTCTTTTTGGTAAAAGATCATAAATATGGGAACAAAAATAAAAATAAAAACTTTTCTATCATAACGTTTGGATTAAGAAAATCAGACATTTGTCTGTTCTACATTATTTAAGATGGGCAATTATATCTACGATTTTACCAATTGTTAATTGGGCAAGATCCTAAAGATAATCTTACTTCATCCAGTTTGTGTGTATATAGTTCTTAAGTATCCTTGAAATAAAAAAGTATCCTTTAAATAATGTTTAATTAAATAACATCTAATTTCATTTAACTCTTTTTTTTAACATTTAAAAACCATTAAGTTATTAAATCAATAAAAAAATCAAAATGTAAAATAGAAATGGTCAAAGAAATCATATACACTCTTAACTTTTACATAAAATGTTGAAAGCAAAATTCAATAGTAAAAAGTCAATAATAATTTTTAAAACGTTACGTAAAAGTTAAAATGAACAAAGGGAATTTGTTTTAAAACTCGTAACTCGATCCAATTATAAGAGTCTCATCAAACATATTGTTCAAAGATATTCGAGATTAAATATAGTATACAAGGTATTGAACACATTATTTCGTGGAAATACTAGTCGTAATTAAGACTTATAACATCAGTTTAAATAGTTTAAAATTTTATTTTTCTTTTTTGGTGAAAATTTAAAAGTTCATTTTAAACAAAGAAAATCTATACCATTTATAATTTTATTCTAAATTATGTATGTGCAACTATTATCTTTTGTCTTAAACAGGGTATAAATCAGATTGTTGGACAGAAGATACATGATTAGTTAAAAGTTATTTTAAAAATAACTGAACTTAAATATATAGTATATATATAACGGTAATATACTATTAACTTACAATTTCTCGAGGATACAAATCTTATTTAAAACCACAAACACAATTTAGTATGATTTAAAATACACATGTAAGCTAATATGAAAAAAAATTAAAATATATTTTTCGCGGAAAATATGAGTTTAAAAGTTATTTTGAAAATAGTTGAACTTATATATGAGTAATATGATATTATTATTACAATTTAGCGAATATATGAGTCGTACTTATATATATATATAATGTTGATATGAAATAATTAAGATATATTTCGAAATTGATACAAGTTTTAGCTAGTTATAATTTTTAATTTTTTATAAAAAAATTGATTAGAGAACAATAATAATTGTAATAAGTAGATTAATATACATCTTTCTAATCGATCGGCTGATCCAAAAAGATGTTGACAATATTCACACACGGTTCCAACAGTTCCTTGTTCCATATATTTCTCTGCATCTCGGCTGCACCTTCAGCTTGATTGGCTGCCCTAATTGCCTCTCGAAACGATGCTGTAGCATCCACCTTCTTTATGTCCCACCCGGCATTTGTCAACTTGATGATCTTCCTGATTTGATCCTTTGTGAGCTGAAACGTGTTTTCTTTGATCGCTCTCATAGCCTTCTTATAAGCCTCCTTTCTCACAGGATCCCATTTCTTCATGTCAATGTCATCAAGCTTGTATACTTTGAGGTAGTCATCAAACTCTTGCACTCCTATAGCCTTCCATATCCCCGATGGCTCTTCTGGGGCCTTGTTAGAACGGTGGAACTCAGCGATCTCCTCGAACATACCTGACTTCATCATCACATCCAAACGTAAAGAGAGATACTCAAATAACACAGGTTGGTCCACATCTATCCAAATGAAACAACAATCATATCTCAACTTGGAACAGATTGAGCCCATGTAGTCATCAGAAAAAGGATAGTTTACAGGGTCATAAGAGTCTGCAGGGAGAGCGTGGATATAGGAGTTGGATCCACCGGCAAGCATTGGGAGTTTTCTACGTTGAGTAATCTCAGAGATGGCTTTTTCAACCATAACACGAAACTCTGCAGCCGTGACTTCTCCAGCCTCCGGGTGTAGTTCACCGAGAAGGTGATGTGGCACTCCACGTCGTTCTGCAATGGTTGATTGGTTCGTGGTGATCTTCAAGCCATCATAGAACTGCATTTTGTCGGAGTTGATGATCTCGGCGTCGAAATGTAAAGCGAGATCAACCGAGAGTGATGACTTGCCAGAACCTGTGGCACCCATGATCACAACCATTTTGTCTCTACACTTCATTTTGTAAATAGAGATTGATTAAAAAACACGAATAGACAAACAATGTTGCTGATATCACGTTTTGGTTACTCCATGCATTCATATATATATAGCGTATGAATGTGTTTATGAATGAATTTAAAGTACATAAATAATTTTAAATCTATGTTTGTATATAGTTCTAACTTTTTATGGATTCTTTACTTTTTATGCCTAAATTAGCATTTTTGAAGTATATTCTATCTAAATAATAATCAAAACATTTAATATTTCTAATAAATAAATAAGCATATATAAATTACACAGAGATTTGGTTTAATCTTTCACATCATTCTTAAAATATATGTTTTATTGATAGGTGTTTACTTGCCAAAAAATTAATAACTCATATATTATATGACTTTAAAAGACATGTGCAAAGGGTCACTCATTCAAAAGTATATACGTTGATAAAATTAAAATAGTAATCAAGAAAAGTATATCTACATTTAAATCTATGTTTAAATTATAGTTATAAATGAATCTATGTGTTTACTCTATCTAGTGAAGAAAAATAATATAGAAAATGTTAGTTTGCGCATAAAATAATCGTCTCATGAGATGCGTTATACGAAACGAACGAAACATGCAACAAAATAAATTCATTAAACAATTGAGCCAACTATTACATAAATTAACAAAAACAATACCTAACTGACAACTGAACTAACGGTTTACGGTACTGTCAATCCATTAAAAATAATTCCTTCTGACAATTAGGTGACAAAAATCGTAATTCATACAACATTTTAGATTATATTAGTGACAAGATCATGCAAAACATTAAATATCATGGATGTAAGAAAAATGGAAGGAATGCAAAACTGGACCACATATTTCAAAAACTGAATTACTAATTTATCATAACACAGTTTGTATGCAAATATGTATACATATTAATTAATTAATTTTGATCACTTATAATTGTGAAGAAAAGAAAAAGAAAAAAACGACACCCGCTCGGTTTAACATCCATTAGACGCGAAGGCGAATGTTCTCATCGTCATCGTCAACGGCATCGGCGGCTCCAGCTGCAAGATCGAGGAGTTTCTCCATCTGCAAAGTCATTTCCTTGAGTGTGGTTGAAGCCTGGTCACTGTTTTTCGCAACCAATTCATTCACGTGCCTTATTTGGTCGCTCGAAGCCCTGACGTCGTAGTTAGCCGTGTCCGGGGATGCCTTGAGCTTCACATTTGCGCTCTTGAGAGCAGCCACCACGGCCATGTAGGCCTTGTGGCACTCCGTAAACGCAACCTTCACAGTTGGGTCTTTCTTTGCACTCTCATCCACGAAAATGGCTGTCTTCTCCGCGTGGGACGTGGCCAAGTTGATCACAGCCTCCGCCAATGGAACCTATTTGAGAGATCATTTTAAAGATCATTTTATCAGCGGAAACTTGTAATGATCATTCCCATTTACGATTGAGACGTCAACAGAACCAAAAAATAAAATATATAGTTTACAATATATTTTTAAAAAGATATGTTTAGAAGCATAGATTTTGTATTGTTTAAAACAGTTAAGTTTCGTGGTTTATACGTAAAAACAAATCGGTAATAAATGCATTAGCTCGTTATATATTACGCTAGACATCTTCTAATTCCTGACGTGAGATTCTACGAATAGCCAATATATATTGGAGATCATATATACCAGGCTAATGGGAGCAGCTGTAGGGGGATTGGAAGTCATAGTCTTAACGCAGAAAGCTTGGTCATGGGCACGATCGCAAATGGCGTCAATGTATTTCATGTGAGGGGAGGCTGAAGCAGGAGACAAGAGTAGCTGCAAAGTAATTGCCGCGGCGGCGAAGGTGGACAGAACGGAGGACGTTGCCATTTTCAAAGTGTCGGAAGTTTTCTTGTTCAAATTTCTGGTTGTTTATTCAGTTTTGTGTTGTATTGCTTTGGTTTAATTAAGGCTGATATATATATATGGTACTCTTAGGGGTTCATCTAGGGCTGGATAACTTTAGAATGTGCTATATTATAATTGGTATCAAGTGATAAATTTAGTAATTTTTTTTTTTGATTATATTTGCTAAATTTGGAGAACCTATGTTAATAGTTCGTGGTTAGTACAATATTAGTGAAAGACAACGTCCATTATTTATCATCTTTCTTTTTTTAGAAACTGGTAAGCGTAGTATTGAGGAATGGGAAGATAAACTTGGCTAAATATTATCGCTTGTCTTTTTGAATTTTATTGGCTTTTATTCGTGTTTTAGATCAAAATAGAGAATATAGTTAAACAAACGGTGGAAACATAGTTATTTATTTTGGTCATAAACTACAAAAAAGCTCTACAAAGTTTTTTGTTTGATTTGATAATTCCATTACCCTAATGCTATACGAGAAGATGATAACTTGGATTTTGGCTTGAGCATGACAATTCTAAAAGGTAGCGATTATAGGGAACGCAAATACAGATTGGAATATTCACATCATATCAACAAAAGAGCACAATACAAATTATGAAAACGAAAAGAAATAGAACTACTACTCTTGGTATTGTATATACTCAAGATTACATGAACTGATTCGCAAATCCCCGAAACCAAATCACATCTACCGACTTCTGTCCTAATAGAGAACCCCTAAGTCTTTGAAACAATTAAAACAAAGTAAGGTAAACTCATCCCCTTCCTTCTTTTCCTGTTGTGTAGCTTTGGCTTTCCCTCACCTCTGATGCTGCAATATCCCAGCTCCCACTTCTGCTTCCCCAGCTTCCATGCCTTGTTTCTGTCCTTATTGAGCCTGCTCTCTCATGGTCTATGTCCAAAGTGTGATGAGACTGACCGTTGTTCCCCTCTTCTGCATTACAACGCTGTGAGAGGTTCATAAGATCGTCCCCAATGTCTAGATCGTCTTCCACTTTCTGTCGCCGGGTCCCATTTTCCTCATCTGTTTCGGCTGATTCCCTGGTGGTGTTAGGGAGAGTTACAACTCTTGGAGGTTCTTCCTCTATGAAGGCTCTAAAGTTGTTCCTCGAGGGCTTCACCTTCGAGCAAAATACCTCCAAGAAATTGTTTGCACAGCCACGGTTATAGACAACGGTTCTGCTGTTTGATCTGTACTTGAAACTCTCATAGGTTGTCTGCGAAACTTGCACGGTATGGCTATTAGTTGATTCACAACTTGCATATGATATGATACTTATACCAGAAAAAAATACCAGTGATCCCAACTAGAAAATGGAATACTGAAATAATAGGGACCAACTGACCATGTTTGTACTTATGAGGTACAAGTGAAACGCTGTGAGTCCTCCAACAAACCACAGGGCAATAAAGCAATATATCATCAGCGCAACTGAACAAGGTGAAGCTTTCATCGCCCTCCACACAGTTCCGTGTTGATCATCCATCAGAATCTTGATGTAGAAAGCCGACATCGAGAACACATAGATGCAGAGAAGTGTTGACGAAGAGACAAACATAAAGAAATACCTATAGTTTCTCTGCCGACGGACACAACTTTCTAAGTCAGAGTCTACCCAATTAACAAGAAAAGATGGGAAAAACAGACTGGCCAATCAGCAGATAAACAGATCTTGGCCTTTTAGATAGGAGAAAGAAAACCTCGGCCAGAAAAAGTTACGAAATTTATATGTTTTAAAGTGAATATGCTTGTGAATGAGCTTACCTGTCCTATACATTGGCCCACCCACGGGCAATGATGATCAAAACGCTCAACACAGTTGTTGCAAATGGAGCAATGAGAGCAACGAGGAGGCCTGTAAAGCATGCATGTATCACAGTATTTCACTCTAACAGAAACACCATTAAACATGACTTCCTTGGTCCTAGGAATATGAACACTTGGTGTTTGTCTTCCATCAGCTGATATTGTTGTCTCATAACGAAGTTCTTCCTCTGGTGGATGCAAATTTCGTGGAACTATACCAGGATCTCGTGCAGATGTGAAGAAGAGGAGGATCAATATCTATCAAAACCAACAACGTGATTCAGCAAAGCAAAAAAAAAGAAAAGTATGAATGCCACACAACTTGTGACAGAATAGGAAGGCACGGTTTAAACTTGTAAGCCGAAGGTTCAAAACGAATGAGAAACATCTTAAGCTACATTATCGCTGTGTAGTCATGTCATTTTTCCAAATTATATACTCGTAACCAAGCAGGGTGCATAGCAGTAAATTAAAATCTGATACTTTTTTGTTAAAAAAAAAAAAGAACTCTGATACTTCATAAACATAACATCTAACCACCACAAAACAGCTGATAAATGTTGATGATAACCCAATTTAAATAGCAAGCAAACAGGAGGAAACAATTAAATAGATATAGGAGTATCAGATGGGCATCGAAGAAGACTTACATAAATAGTGAATAGAATGGCTACCACTAAGATAGCATAACCTGCATTGTAGGATGAAAACTCATGGCGAAGATGTCTTGCCACAAATACACAGAACAGAGCAACTGGAACAATGATCAGTAGCAAAGTAAGAGGCAGTGACCTAGCATCTGGTCCAAATATCAATCTCCCACCAAGGATGAATTTCTGCAAAAGAGAAAGGAAATAGCAAATCAAGATTATATAGAACATTGATTGGTGAAACCACACTGATTTTAAAACATGTACAGAGTCAAGCATTCAAAACCAAAAGAATGGTTAATATGCAAAAATGCAGTGTTATTCAAATATAATAACGAATCGAGCAACAACATTGTGTAATGTAGCTCATTCAGAATGGTAGTGACCCAACCAAGCCCTTAAGATTTCATGCTTTATCGCATCTAAAGCCCAAAACTTAACAATGATTAAACCTAGTTGTAGAGAAAACTACCAAACAGATAAGAGAAAAACCAAAATATGCTAAAAACATTCGGCTCTGCAACATTAGTATAGAAGGAATTCGACAAAAAAAAAACCTAATTTCCAAATAATTTCCTCTAAACAAACAGAGCAAAATCAACCAAAACCTAGTCATATAGAGCAGAATTCAGAGAACCTATGTCATCTCTTAGCAAGGAGGAAAAATCGCAGGCTCAATCGCTCGATGATTAAAGAAGAAGAAGAAGAAGGAAATACTTACATTGCTTCCTTTCCAGGCTTGGAATACCCGTTTTGTCATCGAGAGGAGAAGAAGTGAGCAAAGAGAATCAGAAGGTAGCTACCACCAACGACGAATTCGAGGATAACACTAAATAAATTCTCCCCCGCGAGTGCTATTTCAACATTTCAAAAGTCTTCCGGCGAAGAAGAGGGTTTAATTCCGATGATGGAAAGCCCAACCGTAACAGTACCAGAGATCGCTAGCGAAACCCTAAAAGGATTTTACAACAATTAAATTGATAAAGCTCGCGAGCGACTTCTGGTCTGACCTCTCTCCCTCCCTCAATTGCCCGAAGAACGAAAACGATTGGTTTTTTTTCTCTTTTTTATGCTTTATGTTTTTTTTTCTATTGGTTTTAATGACGTCATCATGTTTATCTTCTAAACCACAAATTAAAATTAGCGTCCTCAAAAATTTCCTGCGTACTTTGTGTGTCAGATTCATTCCTCGTGTGCAAACTATAATACAATTTCGAAACTTTTGTTTTTAATAAATGATTTAAGAGAAAGCAAAACAACTCAATACCAATTTTGTTCTTTGCAAGTGATGCCGATGGTCTTGTTTGTCCTCTAAACTCAAGTCTCTGAAGAACAGCCCATACTCCGAATCAAGAATGGAATAAAGGAAATAAACTCAAAATATATAATCCCGAACGAACGAACGAACACGAACAAAAGAGTGGTTTGAAGTGCTAGTTCTTGTTTTGCAACTAAAAAGAGTGGTACTTTATATATTATGAATAGAGTAGTACAGTACAAACATCTGAAATGGCGGGGCCAAGCGAAAATAAAATAGAATATGATGCCAAATTGTATGTATCTATTGAGTTGAGACAATACTAGTAGAGAGTATATAGTCGTCACAAAGAGTGTGATAAAGCAAGCTTGTGAATCCTAATCTAAGCAGGGCCGTTCGCTCCCACCAAAGGACAAATCTCTTTCCGCAACTCATCTCTGTTCATTGGTTCCTCCCAAATATCAATCAAATCGGAATAAACTAAACGGATCCCTCAAATATAAATTAAAGCTCCACCCTTTCTCTCTCTCTCTCCATTGTTGACTCTCTTCCCTCGTAAACATCGCTGTCTCTAAAGATGGCCTCTCTCTCAGGCCTCTACTCCTCTTCCCCGTCTCTCAAACCTTCCAAAAACCTTTCCTTTAAAGCATTGCCGGCGGCGCAGTCTCGTGATTCCTTCTCTTTCCCGCATACCTCCAAACCCACCAACCTACCGTTGACTCTCTCCGCGGCTCGTTCCGTGGCGCGCGACATTTCTCACTCGGATGCGAAGAAGGAGCTTCTGAAAGATCCGGATGCGTTGTGGAAGCGATACCTCGATTGGCTTTATCAGCAGAAAGAGCTCGGTCTCTATCTCGATGTCAGTCGGGTCGGATTCACCGACGAGTTTGTTGCCGAAATGGAGCCCCGGTTTCAGGCTGCGTTTAAGGCTATGGAGGATCTTGAAAAGGGGGCTATAGCGAATCCAGATGAAGGAAGGATGGTTGGACATTACTGGCTTAGGGACTCTACTCTCGCACCCAAACCCAATTTGAAGACCTTGATCGAGAATACGCTTGATTCTATCTGCACTTTCTCCGACGACATCATCTCTGGCAAGGTTAGTATTCGATCCCACCTTGTTTGGTATTTTGATCATTTGCGTGGCCACATTTCTCATATTCGAATAAGTAGTTCTTTGCAGAGTGTCTTGCTTAGCTCACCTCCTGATTCTTGTTTGCTTGCGAGACCTACTCAAATTTGTTTCTACATTGCAGATAAAGCCACCATCTTCTCCTGAGGGTCGTTTTACTCAGATACTTTCTGTAGGCATTGGAGGTTCGGCTCTTGGACCTCAATTTGTCGCTGAGGCCTTGGCTCCTGATAATCCTCCCTTGAAGGTATCACACACTGTTTTCATTCTAGTCAACATTGCATTCCGTTCACACTCTTGGCATCCCTTTTATCTTTGCCTCGTGGACGGATCTCCTGTCTTGGATTTTTCTGATCGAAAGTGTCTAACTTGCTGTGTATGTTTTTTTTTTGTGCTTTTGTGGTGTTGATAGATAAGATTCATTGACAACACCGACCCTGCTGGAATCGATCATCAGGTTGCACAACTTGGGCCAGAGCTTGCCACTACTTTAGTAATTGTCATCTCAAAGGTGTGTCCTATATACCATTGTTTGCACAGGCTGTTTTATATGATGGTTGGTCTTGACATTGGCGAGCATGACTTAGTATTTTACGTGTTTCTCAGAGTGGAGGTACTCCTGAAACTAGAAATGGACTATTGGAAGTACAGAAAGCATTCCGTGACGCTGGTCTGAATTTCTCAAAACAGGTATTAATCTCAGGTTTTTGTTTCCGTTTTACTTTTCTGAAATCCATGTGCCTATGAACATGGGAAGAAAGCTGTTTATAAATCCCAACTGGTTTACACAGCTAGAAGTAATCTGAGTTAAGTGGAACCAGTAATTTGTCTCAGTTACAACAGAGTGAAAACTGGCTTTCCATAGATCATTAGACGGAATGCATATAATTTAGATGTATTGCATATAATTTAGCTTCAACTTCTGCGCATCTGTAGTTCCTTAGCAGCAATTTCCCGCTGTATGCTTATGCAGGGTGTTGCAATAACCCAAGAAAACTCGTTGCTGGATAATACAGCCAGAATTGAAGGTTGGCTAGCTAGATTTCCTATGTACGACTGGGTGGGTGGAAGAACATCAATAATGTCTGCAGTTGGTTTGCTTCCAGCAGCTCTACAGGTAATTGGTACATAAGCTTAAACTAAGTATGATCACTCATTGCTTTTATGTATGTTAATGCACTGCCATCGTATAGGGGATTAATATTAGAGAGATGCTTACTGGTGCCAAAATAATGGATGAGGCGACTAGAACAACTTCGGTAAGTCTTACTTGTTGCAGCTTGTTTTAGAACTACCACTTCTTGTTTTGTTGAAGATGAATTTACTTACCAGGGTTTTAGTAGAATATTATATCATAAGGTTTAGTTAGAAACCATGACTCACTCTAGCCTATAAATTTCTTTCTTCTTTCAGATAAAAAATAACCCTGCAGCTCTCCTAGCTATGTGTTGGTACTGGGCTTCAGATGGTGTTGGCTCCAAGGTATTTTCCCTCAACTTTTTCGAAAGTGTCTAAGATTAGCATGGAGATTGAGTTTCTTATTGACCTTTTAATTATTTTTTCCTTTCTTTAACAGGATATGGTCATCCTTCCTTACAAGGATAGCTTATTACTATTTAGTCGGTATCTGCAGCAGCTGGTTATGGAATCACTGGGAAAGGAGTTTGATCTTGACGGTAACACTGTAAGCATACTCTTTCTTCAGTGTTCACCACAGTACCTCGGATGGGAGTTCATGAGAAATTAACTGAGAAGTGTGAATTGGTCTTGCATTTAATGTCACTCTTAAAAATCTTAAGCTCTTGGTTACATAATTGAGTTCAGTTTGTTACACCGTCTTCCTGGAAGAATTGAAACTTGTATACTGTTTCCTCATTCCTCAACCCTGTTTTTACGAGTGTGATCCCAAGGAAGTAAGGAACGATTATTCAAATTTGCAGGTTAATCAAGGGTTAACTGTATATGGAAATAAGGGGAGCACAGATCAGCATGCGTGAGTTTCCTTTATTCAAATAGTTTTCTCATTGAGACATAGCAAAAATGGACCTCTTATGCAACAGTATTTAATTTTCTTATTTTACTAGCTACATTCAACAGCTGAGAGAGGGTGTGCACAATTTCTTTGCAACCTTTATAGAAGTGTTACGGGATAGACCCCCAGGTCACGATTGGGAGCTTGAGCCAGGTGTCACTTGTGGAGACTACCTCTTTGGGATGCTACAGGTCTGATTTATGAATTTTGCACAAATTAAAAGATATTAACTCTTTACACATACTGCATTTGGACTATCTTCCTAGCTAATTAGCTGGTTTGAATTTGTCCAGGGAACTAGATCTGCTTTATATGCAAACGGTAGAGAATCCATTAGTGTTACTATCGAGGAAGTGACACCAAGATCTGTTGGGGCTATTATAGCTCTTTATGAAAGAGCAGTCGGATTGTATGCCTCAATTGTGAACATAAATGCTTACCACCAACCCGGTAGAGATATTCCTCCTGTCTCGGAAACCGGTGTTCTGTAATTGCCTTACTGAAATTTGTTTACTGAATCCAAATGAAACTACGATTTCAGGTGTGGAAGCCGGCAAAAAGGCAGCAGCAGAAGTTCTGGCCCTGCAAAAGCGGGTATTGTCAGTTCTTAATGAAGCCACGTAAGTATCAGACCATGTCCTCTTTCTCTGTCAAATCTAGTCAAGACTCAAGAGAAACCACTTAGTTACTAACCATTTTCATCTGCCTGCAGTTGTAAAGATCCGGTAGAGCCATTGACATTGGAAGAGATAGCTGATCGTTGCCATGCTCCTGAGGAAGTAACGTCTAAATCCTTGCAGTTTAGTTTATTTTAAGTTTCATCTGTAATTTTTCGAATGGACGTATCAAGAAGTCTTTATATTTGACTCTGCAGATAGAGATGATATACAAGATCATAGCTCACATGTCTGCAAATGACAGAGTTCTGATAGCTGAAGGAAACTGTGGATCGCCACGGAGTATCAAAGTGTATTTGGGAGAGTGCAATGTGGATGACCTGTACGCTTAATAAACCCAACACTTTCGCAAAAACTCCAAAGAGTCGCATTCTCTCCATTCCTTATTCATTTCTTGACATGTCTATGATTTTGAAAGGAGAAAAGGATTTGCAATAAGGGCCAGGAAACACTTGTGTACTTGTTTCAAAATAATGAGAATTTCAGTTCAGAGTGTGGAAAATGTTGGTTGAATGAAAACATAGGAGATGATACATCAATCAATCAGGCAACAATGATCTCAACACTACCCTTCTGCTTGTTTTTGGTTAGGTGTCCTTCTGTTTCATCGCAACACTCTTATCTCTCTATGTATACACAAACAAAAGCTTAAATCAAATCAGCAGGTAAAGAAGCTCAACAAACTTCCTCCATGTGGTTGGATGATAGTATTAGACAGTTTTGCAACTCAAGCAAAGTGATATGTTACTTATTTGTGATGGACTTCCAACTATAGCTTCTCTTCAAAATATAAAACATACTTTTTTACACAAGTTTATTCTTTTTATAAGAGTACCAAACATTTAAGTAAACTTTATAATCAAAGGCTCATAATTTTTCCATAATAAGGTTCAATTTACCCACTTTTGAAATTCGAATGGAATATGTTGACAAAAAAAAGAAAAAGGTAGAA